TCACTAACACAAGTTTTTCAGCAAAAAAAATAATTCAAATAAAAAGTAGTAAATATATCTAATGAATAACAGCCATTTTAAACTTCAAAAGAGAACATCCTTCATAGTTTTACAGAATTATCATATAATTATTATAATAAAACGTCATACTCAAGCAAACGAGAATTTTAAATAAATTCAATCATTTAAACATTTTAGAGTATTAAAAGTTTTGTTTTGGTGTCGTAACAACTTTTAAAATTGAACAAAATAATAAAAAAAAAATAATAAGGTGTACTATGCTACTTAGGCATTGCAATTTAATAATCCACAAATTACATAGAACATGAAATGCATAATACACCCCCAATATTTACATATAATAAAGAGCAAAACTAAAGTTTTAAAACTAACATTTTACCTAAAAAGGCAAAAGTAATTAAATTTTTATTTGATTTGTAATTTAAAAATAATAAAGTAAAATATTATTTTGTTTGATAAACCAAATAAAATTTATTTAAACATCACTTACTAGACTTACAAATACAAAATAAAAAATAAATCAATCACAATAACCCACGCATTTGACAATTACCAAAAACAAAAAGAAAAAGGTACAAAATTGTCTCCAATTCCAATCAGTCGATCATCATAATTTCCCCCTCAGTCAATTTACAACCGTAAAAAAAATCTTCAGGACACCAATCATGCTGTCCACTAAATAATCAAAATTAATATACGAAACATAACGCTTGCATAAAAAAACTAACCAGCAAATTTTAAGAAAGAATCCTTAACTGTCCCGTATTTGTGGCATATATAAGCCCTTGTCCGGATATAGGGAGCCACCGTATGCAGTTGAGACTCATAAAGTTATTATCCCGATGCTGATCGATATCCCGAAGGACCGTGATACTGTTGCCATAAATCTTCTTTGTTTCAATGCGGAATATTTTTGCCATAGTCCATCTTTCGCTTGGGATTATTGACATCCGTCTGGATGCTAAACCAACGACTAAATGACGACTAAGGGGAGATAGAGACACCGACACAGCGTTTTGCTCAAAACTTGTTATATACAAACACTGACCCAGAGACTCCCACCTCAATGAATACACGCCTATAAAAAAAAAAGCAAAATATAAACTTACTTTCTTTTATGGGCTGAAATTAAAACAGCTACATTAAATAACGTGACTAATTTTTACGACGACTTTATCAAGTTTGGATTGACGAGACAATTTAATGTCCACAGTGAGGTTTTACTTACCTAATCGATTTGAATAATTAAGATAACCACCAGAAGGTAACAGTGTTACTAAAATATTGCCATCATTCGAAATATCTACGCTAGCATCATTATGGATTTTACATTCGCTAACAACAACGTTTTTAAAAGCTGAAAATAAAAAGTAGTATAGTTTATTTAATTACATTATTTATTTTTTTGACCAAGTTACTTTCGTTTAATTCTTTTATTGAAATTATTAATTATCATCATAATTATTAAAGAAAATGTATCTTTTGTGCATACCATCATTTATATCCGGTATAAGTCCTGATGAAATATCCCAGGCTTGAATTCGATGGTTTGGAGTGACTGCCATCACCACATCACCATCGTTGAGCGTGTCTCGTTGCGAATCGTCCACGTCAGATTCAAGAGGGTTGGCATTGAGAGGCAAAAGAGGTGGTAAAAGAAAAAATCTAGGTCTGAATATGTTCGGAGCATTTGTCGATCGCAACTCGGACAAGCGATAACGTAATGGTAGCACCCTACTGGACCAACTAGAGAAACTTGATTCGGACATTGGCACATCGTTTATATGTACCGTTGGAACATTCCACGTCCTGCTTTGACTTGCAGGCGAGTTCGTACTCTCATTGTTATTTTCAGTACTCGTTACGTCATTAGAACGGTAGCTCTCACTCGGTGTATTATTAGCGTCATGTGAATTGGTACTTGTTCCCCAGTTGTTAAAAGACGTTTCAGTATCTTCGTCACTATTCGTAAGATCAATGGGATTCGTACTTGACCTGGGCCTAAAAAAACTCATTGAATTATATGTTAAAACAAGTTAATTTAAAATGCTATACCATTCGCGCACGGGAACTTCAGCGCTCCTCGAAGGTGGTGGCACTTCGGCCGGCATGAATGACATACCACGTATTGTATGCATGTTTTGAAGGGTATCGTTCATTCTTCCAAGCAGTTCACGAATGCCTTCAGAATGACTACCACTAGTCATCAACGCATTTCTCCTCGAATTATACGTTCGTTTCAATCTTATTACGCGTAATGTCCTTGTCAACGTGTGTGGTTGATTACTGGAACGGTTCTGTAACATGCGACAGCAAGCTTGATCTATCCGTGCAGATAAACTTTCACGTTCCGGATCCAAATTCATACCAGTTGGTGGTGGAATGGAGTCTATTATATGCAAAAGTAAAATATCTGACAGCAAGAGAGACAAATCTATCACCATACGCACGTACGACCGAAAGCTTGGGGAGAAATTCACGTTTGGTGCATTCTCAAAGTATCTCGTGAACGTATTCAGAATAAGACTCATAGCCTCACGAGCTCCAAAACGAAGCATGCTATCTTGCGTTGCACTGGCTACTTCTATCCTGTAGCTAGGGTGCATATTACTGTTTGACATTCTACCGAGCATGTGGTTTAATCGTAATCGACATCGATTTAGCCTTTCAATGACAACATGTTCCCTATTATCTCGTACAGGAACGGGTTGCAAATGGGGTGGAAAACAGACTAGTCGCAAATGATTGGTTAAAAGTTGTTCTAATCTTCTCACCATTATGTTTAGTGTTTCAGCGTTAAGATGAACTGAAGAACTTTGACTGTCGGCCAATCGGGCTGTTGCGGACTCGACCCTAGACGCCGAAGGTCTCGCTGAAAAGGACCTGTACGAATCCCATCGTCTCATTAGCCTATCTCTGCTGTGAATTCGGCGCGGAGGAAAGAAATTTACCACTGAAAAACGTCTATTTTGCCTTTGCAAATGTTGAAGACGAGAGGGCAGATAAGATTTTCTAGCATTAGAACGAGAACCTTGAATGGAAGCACTTGGTGTACGATTCTGCTCTGTTCCAATTTCTGACGTGCTCTGATTACTAGTGCTGTTTTGCCTTCGTGATCCGCTATCAGTGTTCGTTTCATTTGGCGAATCATAGGGGCTTGAATCGCTAATTCGTGTGCCGGCCATCATTTGTCGAACGCTTGAGACGCCACTACGACTTTCTGCATTTCCTACTGTGTTTACGTGTCTCCGCAATTCTTCAAACATCTGCCGAATCATTTGCAATTGTGCGACCTCTAGCATAGCTCTATCGATACGTTCGATACTTTCAACCTGCCGCCTTAAAAGTCCCGCCTGACGCTGAATATGGGAGATTGTTAAATGTAATGACGTCATTAAAGGGGTCATGTTTTCTGGTCCAGAAGGCGATAAACTGGAATAATCTCTACCTTGTGGGTAAATATGTTCAGTTGGACTTCTCAAATAGTTATTTTCTATTGGATTTCTGGGGTAAGTATGATCTGTGGTAACTGAACTGCGACTAAAATTCGAAGTATCATTCCCACCTAAAGGCCCGTTATCGCTATTATCTCGAACATAAAAGGTGGGATCGTTAAAAGTAAATTGAGGTCTGTCGGTTGATGTTCTCACAGAATGACTTGTAGAAATGTCAGCATTTCTTGTATTTGGTGGTAGCATGTCCATGGTATTTCTCAAGTTTCTCAAAATCGAGTTTGACTGATGCATAATGCTCTCAAGTCTCTCTGAGAAACTGCTTAGCATGTCTGATGTTTCACCTGGACGCGCACTCGCTCTTATATTTCGTACATTCCTCAGACTCACTTCTAAATCCTGGACGATGTTCGAATACATGTTTCCAATTCCGATATTTTCCGGATTGATCGAAGGCACATCAGGAGGTGGATCAAACGGGTGAAACTCGGGAGGAGCTGCTAAATGTTCAGTGGGATCGTCCTCAGAATTGGCTCGTTCGGAATAATTTACTACCTCGTCAGGAGCAAGATTTACTGGAAGACCATTGTTATCTGCATCAAAGGTCTCAAATTCGTCGACTATACGTCTGAGAGTCGGCGAAGCCGATTGAAAGCTACTAGACCGTCTAAGTCGGGATTGTGAACGAACGTTATAAACACGAGTAGGATAAAATGCAGAGAAACGTTGCGAGAAAAACCTTCGCCTAATACCGCTGGGGGTGTAAACGGTTGAATTAGTCGTTCGAGTGTCAGTATTCATAAGAGTGCGTGCACACGGTTCCGTGTCGGATCTTGGACTGATTTCAGTTGTACGAGCACACGATTCGTTAGGTTCTACGTTCGCAGTAGTTGTCGTGACAACAGAAGCATTAGAAGGGGCGGTCGAACCAGAACTACTGTTTACATTTCCGGCTGCATTGCTACAGTATGGTTTAAGGAGAAGATTAAACGACAAAGGCCTGAAAGACTGCGAGTTGCTCGATGGAGTACTTGTGGTCGGTGGAAGCAGAGAGCTTGCGTTATTACTGTTACTCGTGCTAGTTTCGACATTAACAGAAGCTGAAGACGCTACAACAAATTTTTTGTTTAAATCAGAAGAAAGTTTTAAAATAAAGTACCAACATTTATCCAAATACTAACGCTAACGCTAGTTGTTGCAAAACCCGTAGAATAGGAAAGTAAAAAGTTAACATTATTAAATAAATTAGTTTCATTCATACAATAACACAGTCATTTATCCTCCAGGAAAAAATAAAAATGAAAACTGTTTACTACTTACTAGATTGGTTTGTAGATGAGCTGGTCATATGAGAAAAATTTCTGTGTGAATACAATCTCTTCTTTCTACGCTCTTCATCTTCGGAACTACTATCTGATGATGTATCTAACACCGGCCTGCGATTCGATTTCTTCAGAAAACCGGGATATATTCTTTTCAATTGAGACGTTGACTTTCTCTGCGTTCCACCATCTTGTTTTTTCAAACTACTGGCTGTTTCTACAGAGGAAGTGCTTGGTTGAGGCTCTGTCCTTTCATCTGTCTCTGCCAGGCTTCGTTGTATTTCAGCGATTTTCTCTCTTAAGTTTACTAAATTATCTCGAGCTGTATCGTTTGGTTTTTGTTTGGGTGAGCATTTGATTCTCATTCGGTATACATTACAACGTGAAGTGTCAGGAGTTTCAGTCGATCGGGTTGCTGAGGACGAAATGGATAGCGGAACTGAAGTATGAAGAATCAAACATCTTCTAAAAGCACCAGGAGAAGATACAAATGCTGAACTATTGTCGTTACTTGTGTTTGGCTCGTTTGTTGGAGAAACGTGTCCTGCACCATCATGCGTCGTTTCAGTACACGTAACAGTTGCTAATTCTCTGTTTTCAGGAGAAACGTCCGGCGATGTAGGCGCAGATTGAGTACTACTACTACTGACTGGTAGTTTTCTCTTTCTGGTTTCGCCCGTATGAAGTTCTGTGCCCTGCTCAGTCCATCTACGTTTAGGACTCAATTTAACTCTTGTTGGAGTAATTGTTTGTGTACCCCTCTGTGCATGCTCTTGAACGCGGTATTTCGCAGGTATCCCCGAGCTTTCTGAAGACGATGATGATGATGAAGAAGATGATGATGTTGTTGTTACTACAGCAGTTGGTGGTGGCGGTGGTGGTGGTGGTGGTCCCGAAGAAGTAGCTGAGGACGGACCGGGCTCTTGGTAATCGTTTGCTAATGAAGTAGAAAGTCCAGATGATGTTGATGTAGAAGGTTGTTGCTGATCCATATCCATAGGATCTGTACCGCGGTCCATCTGGAATTAACATTTTATTGCAAGAAAATTCTTTTGTCAAGAAAGAAACTTACGGTCGTCGGAGGCCGATAGATTTGAAGGTACCTTTGTACCAGAAGCTCATATTCATGCACCAAATTTCTATAACAAGCAGTAATTCTCCTCTCCCTTTCTGGTACAGTAGATGTGAATGCTCTTTCAGTAGTATTAGAATTAGTTGACTGAAAATTTTATGTAATAGCACACTGATACTTTTTGAAAATCAATTGTATAATTGAACTTACAGAGGTAGGTTGAGGAAGAAAGGGAATACCCACTCTAGGAAACCTTCTGCGATAGGGACTTCCTGATGATTCCGAGACTCTATTTCTTTCCCAACGACTTTGAGGATTATTTGCTATTCCAGTTATCAATTTATGGCCCAATTTGTCAAATGCAACATAGCGTACCTAAAAAATGTGTAATTTCGTTTAAAAAAAAATCAAATTCAAATATACTGCTTTTACTTTTTCCTTAACATTTGCAGTAGAAGTTTGAAGGAATGGCTCAGGTTTACTCCAGTCCCAGAAAAAAAGTTCATGAAATGTTGCAATTACTACCAACCTATCAATAGGGTGGAAGGCAATTGATGAAATAACACTACCTTTTTTTGAAATCCAAACTTCACTGCCACCCTGTAGAGAATTATTTAGTCTTTCTTTATTACTGAATAAAAATAAAATATAAACGAAAAATGATAAGTAAATAAATTACCTACTGTAGGTAATTTTTTTAAACTTACACTTAAGTCCCATATTCTAACTTGTCCTGCTAAGCAACCTGATGCAACCAAATCATTGGATGTTGGATGAAATGCTATACACCAAGGAGTCCTCGGATGTCCAATTAATGTTTTAATATTTTTACCAGTTCTTAGGTCTGTCACATAAATATTGTGATCTCCATGAGTGGAAGCAACTTTTGATCCATCTGGACTAAAAACCATCAGGAAAGTTGAACGTGGAGTTCCAGGAACTTCACATTTCTACAAACCACAAAAATTTAAGCAATCTTGCTAACAACATAACCACATTACTTACTAATTCTTTATACTCTTTTCGAACAAGTTCATCTTCAGCAAAAGCCTCAATGCTAGCTTTTATGTTACAACCTTTGACTTGACCAATCTCGCGATTCCTGTTTGCCTTAATGAAATCATTACTCATATTTGGATAAGATGTTTTTAAAACTCTTTCTTTAAGAGGTTCAATCACATCTTCGTCGTCTACATTCATTTTTGACAAGTAGCAGGGCTGATTAAATGCTTATGTTCTGCACATTATCTGCCTAAAACGTTGACAGTTACGCCTTTTCTTAACAATAAAAGAAAACAGAAATGCACAACAAGCAAGATTATACATCTACAAATAAACACATGATTGGAAATAAAATACTAGTAATATCTTTCCTAAGAAACGAAAGTATTTACTAATGAATGTTGAACAAAAATGAAAGACAATTACAAGGGCAAGGTAACAAATGGGATGTGTTTATTCGCAAATATTACCTTCTTAAGTAATTGTCGTAACAGTTTCATTTGAAGAAATAATAAACTTTCTAAAAAATATTTACACAAATGAAATAATAGCAAACACAACTGATCATTAATGCAACAACTTTTATTTTATTAACACAGGCAAACTTAGCGCAGAAGTTGACATTAGACTTGAGTTATGCAACCCAAAATACTGTGTGATACAGCTGTTGACCTACCAACCAAACTTTAGGGGTAAAGACATTCCACCTTTTGTATTCAGTTTTTTAAAGGGAATTATTATAAGAGACACAATAATTCTAAAATTACAGTTGAAATTCTCTTTATGTAATCTCAGGAGATCATTCCGATCATCCTATTCATCAATAACCATTTCTGGGATATTTTACAAAAAAGAAATATTTACGATGGCAGCACTGAGGAACACAAATAAATAAGAAAAAGAAGCCAAACAAAAGTAAATATAACCTAACTTACTTTTAATGGCTATAAATTTTTAAAAATGTTTTTTTTCTTATTTATTTCTTTATTAAGTTTCTTAAGCATAAATACTTCTATAATAGGAGTTCCCGTAAGTAAATATTACTAAGTTGTACCACTAAAAATTGTAATTGTAAACATTCGCAGCTTTTAAAATGGGTTAACAGAAGTACATCTCAAGAAAGAAAACTAATAGAAAAGCGCAGTGAATTAAAACAACAACAGTCTAATATACCAATGGTGGATAATTTTGCTAAATTTTCCAAAATTCAAAGAAAGATTAATAGTGTTGACCAGGAATTAGAAGAAATACAAAAACAGAAGAGTGACAAAATATTCCTGACAAAAATACTGTCTTCTTATGGTTTAAAAGTTATTATAGGGACAGCGTTATTCTTTTTCTCATATTATTATAGATTTTCTCCCATTTTACATTTAAATGAAAAGTACAATTTGTTTCCATTGTCAAATATTATTGCTTATCCTAATGAACCAAACACTGTTTCTGTGCATTTTTGGATTGTTTGCTGTACTACTGCTGCAAGAGCAATTCAAAACTGATGTTAAAATTAGACGTTATTGTTATTAACTTTATAATAAACTACATTTTTATTTAGTAAAATGTTTCCTTTAGAAGAGTAAGGTACTTTAAATATTGGATTGGTTTGGTAGTTACTTTGGAGACGACTCATCTTTTTAACAATATAAAAACGAGACACTTTTTTATTATCACTTTATTTTGATAATAAAAAAGTATTGTTTTTATTTTATAAGAAATACATACTTATTAATACGCATGTTTAAAACAACTTTATATAAAATATTTACTATTTAAACGAATAAATATAAAAAAACATTTTACTGTAAAACGAATACAAGGTATATATTATTTTCTGTATAACTTACAATTAAGTAATAAACTATATATGAAAACAACAGAGTACACTGCAGTGCCCTAAACGGATTACAAATAGTTGGAATAAATTAACAAGCAAAAACGTATCACAATTTTTTATGCGTATTTCCCTTTAAAGAGTTGATGGTCTACTTGGTTTTTTTATTTTCAGAAGGATTGCTGTTGCTTGCAGGGGAATTGGTGTTTTGCATTGTACTTCGAAAATGAAACCGTCTTATCGTTTCTATTCGCACTTTTACAAAAAAATAAATGTTCAAAACGATTTCGTTCAACGTTTCGTATTCATTTGGTACATGCCCTTCGACGCCCGACTCGAAAAATGACAAAAGGGGGAACCATATACGCGTTCTGATCGAATCTTGTTGCATAAGCGCCTGATTATTAGAAAGAGTATGATAATAACAAAAAAGACGACTCGTTATGTAAAAGGCAACGAACACGTCAATGGAATAATGTTCATGGGCAGCAAGAATGAAGAAGATTCCGAACATGTTCATTATCCACGACACAGTATGGAGGAAGTAAAGGTGTTGAGGTGTATCTGAAAATAAGAGTTTTCAATAAGATAAATAACATGCTTTTAATCATTTCATAAAAAAGTTATTAAATTGTACTCTTCTTAACATATTGTCTCTATGAGGAGTATCAACTATTAATTAAAAGTTGTTTTAGTCACTTAAAAAGTTTTACATTAACTACATATTAAATTTTCTCAATATTAACATAACACAAATCGTTGTTTCTCATAGTGTAAATACTCTGAAGGACAAAACGTAACTTAATAATGATAACAAGTAGTATCATTATTTAGCAAACTCTGATAAGAACTTAGTTACAAAACCCAATAGTTGAAACTAATCACTTTAAGTAAACAAAAAATTAGTCCTAATATTCATACATAAATTAAGATTTTAAAATCTACTAAATCTTACTAAGTATTGAAAATTTTCTAGTTTTTATAAAGTAAAAATTAAAATACACTTACACTCAGTAATAAAAAAATTAAGCATCGTTAGAGCCACTGTATGTCCACTGAACATGTAGTCACCACAGGTACGTACACCTTGAATGGACATACCTGCTCCTCTCCATATTAAATAGGCTTGAGAAGTCTTGATTTTAATGTCATCAAAAAATGATAAGTCTTCTGCTTGGAAAGAATGAGTCCTTGGTTGGCACTGTAGATGTGTTCCAGGAACACTGAGTGATGTTATTAGCATTGTTATACAACGTAATAAAAAAACTGTACCAGATAGAGCAAAAAAACGTCTCATTAAAATGAACCTGGAAAAAAATATTAGTTTTTTCTATATCAAAACTGCAAACTTTTAAATTATCACATTCATACCTGTGTTTATGAAATAGCAGTACTAATAACCAAACAGTAAATAAGAAAGTCCCTGTAATTTCACACATATCAAAAGCCCAAGGAATATGGGGAATATTATCCAAAAATATATCAGGAAGAGGTGGATACTTCTTCATGTCAGGTACACGGTCATGCACAATTACCATTACAAATGCTGTTATCCATGTCACCAAAACTAAATAGCAAAAAGCAAGAAATGCCTTCCATATCTCTGGGGGAAGACGTTGAGGGCGACCCTCTTCAGAAAGGGGTGGGGTGATTCGGTCAGACTCAAAATATTCACTGTATTCGTGTTTTGTAAAGTGCAAATTATGTGGATTGTACATATTGATGTTTGGAAGTTCTAATATTCCCAGCATAACTAAAGTATTTTGGTTTTCTCTTTGCAGGGTTTTCACAGCCAAGTATAAGGTTTTTCGTTCTCGTAAATTAAGCTTACTTAACGGGGCCATTACAAAATCATTATCATTTAATGCGATCAAACATTTGCCATTTACCTTGTTTTCTATACAAAGAAGGCCTATGGTTTCTTCGTCGAAGTCTTCTTTTCTCAACCATTCTTCCACGTCTTTTGAAGTCCACTCAACTACGTTGTTGTGCATTCTGGTTTGTTATAAAATATCACTATTCATTTAACTGCTATCTAAAAATTATAATACTGATAAACACCGTTTTGTTTATTGCGACTTTTACTTTAATTTTTTCATTGAAGTTTTTCATTCACCTAACCTACATTTCATGCATGATTTTAATTTTTATATCTATGTTGATCTATGTTTTTATATGACGTAATCCGTAAACATTTGAAACGTCAAGACACAGGTAACTGTAAATAAAAAAACTAAAGCAAACAAAAATCATACATGAGGGACAGATTCACAAAGATATTCTGTTTGATTGGAAAGTGGAAAGAATATATGACAAAAACAAAAGTCATTTAAAAATCAAAAATATGTTTTGCAAAATATAGGGTTATCAAGTGTTTGTAAACAATAACAAAAGTGTTATAAATAATCATTAAAACCTCGGAAGGATGCGCGGTCATTGACCTGTAGTACGGTAATTATCGATCAGCAGTAGTATACTTACATGGTACCTGTTCCTGTCACTTTGAAACGAATTTGTGCAGGAAATGCCTATATTATTATGTGTAACTTCCGTATCACTTTACTTATTTTACTAAAGTGTTACAGTGTAGAAAAATGGGTGCCCAAGAATAAGCTTTGAAACTATTACAAGCAGAAGTTAACACTCAATCTTTGATAACGAAGTTGGGTTATCTGTGAAAATGCAAAGAAAAGAAGAGAGCTTTGAACAGAAAAGGCTTGAATTGGAGGCATGGTTACAAAGGATGGAAGTCCGATTATCCAACATGGGACCTATAGGACATACAGCCGACGTTCTAGAGGCTCAGCTCAGGGAACAGAAAAGTTTGCACGCTGAATTACATCAATTTAAGGCACAAATTGATGGATTCCAGCAACTTATGCAAAGAATTATTGCAGTTCATCAAAATGAAGATACTACTAGATTTAAAAAGGTTGGTACAATACATGCATATTTAACGTTTCTTTGGGGTTATTCTTTACCTTCTAAGGACATTGAAATGATTCTTATTTGTTATTTTTTAAAAAGTGAAAATTATAATGATAAGTTATATGATATCATCTTAGGACTATACATATTTCAGTAAAGTAACAAAAGTGCATGATTACATTACCTGTGTGGGAGGTCTCAAAAATCTAAACACTACTTTATTTTAACCAAATGTACCGCTTTATGTTAACTTCATAAGTAAATACTCTTTGTTCATAAGTAATTACATTTAGATTGTGGTCAAGGTCTGCTTAGTATTAAACAAGTAGCAATACCACTTAAAAAAATAATGCATTACCTAATTTACATTAATAATCAGTTTTTTTACTGTAACAGCCATTCCCACAGTTATACTTTCACCATAGTAATTGAATTGTAAACAAGATACTGTATACAACAACATTATACGTTTCCAAATAAGAAAAAATTAAAGAAAAAAGATACATACATTATGCATGTGTACAGGTATTAGAAAAGTGGTGTGGCAATTATGTTATTTTTAATTATTAAATACATAACATAAATTTACAATGTGTTTCTTCCCTGTTTCCTTTATTTAAATAACTATTTTATAATCTCCAACAGTTTGTGAGAGTTTTTTCTACTTCTTTTTTACGGTTGCTTTCTCTTCAAGGCCTCTCTATATGGCCAATGAAACGTTTAAAAAATCGAACAACACCAATGACAATTTCAGATTGTCGAGCACGTTAATCAACATTATGCACGCTTGGACGCATGTGTTATAAATCGTGGCAAACTCCTGAACTCGGCTCTGAGCTCGTTACAGAATCTGGACCGATCCATGGACAAATTCCTGGCTTGGTTGAGTGAAGCTGAATCAGTTTTAGAATCACTAGAAGGTGGAGAACTGGAGAGCAGAAGATGCGCACAACAGTTAAAAGAACTTCAGGTGGATATTGAACGACAGTCTGGGGCTCATGCAGCTTTGAGAGCATCTAGTTTGGCCCTTCTTGGGTCTCTTTCACCTGAGGACGCTCTTATGCTACAATTAAGAGGTGATGAAATGGAAAGAAGGTGGCAGGTACAAAATAACTTGCTATAATTGCAAGATGCAACAAATTAATTTCATAAAATATTTTAAGGCACTAAAATCGAGAACTTTAGACATTCGGAATCGCTTGGAGCATAATGTAGAGTACTGGAACACTCTTCTGCTGTCCCTCAGAGAACTGACTGAATGGGTTATAAGAAAAGATACTGAACTGGGTTTGGTATCTTGTCAGGATGATCATCGCGCCTTTAGACAGCAACTAGAAGACAAACGACCACTAATTGAGTCAAGTTTGCGTAGCGCAAGACAGTATGTTTCAGGCGAGCCTTCCGGAGAATTGGCTAGAAATTTAAGAAGAGAATTAGTTAAATTGTCTGATAAATGGAATGCTTTGATTGAAAGATCGGATCAAGTTGGGACCAAATTAGAGCAGAATATGACTGTATGTGAATATAAAAGATGTATAAATATACCTACAATATTTAAAAATGATAAAACCTCAAAAAAACCTCATACTATGCTTATTATAAATTAAATATGAACATTCAGCTTCCATACTTGTTTCAATAATTTTTTTATTGGGTTTTTGCAGAAGTTGAAACATTTAGAAGCCAATTTAAAGGACTCTACTGCAGCAGTAGCAAGTTTGGAACGTATGACTTTGTCATGGAGTTCTCCAAGAAGTGCAGCTGAAGCTAGAGAGTTGCTATCAAACCTGCGTACTTTAGAACAAAAACTACCACCTCTGCAAAGGACCTTGGAAGAGATAAGATCTCAGGCTACTTTCCTTGGTTCAACATTACCTCCTAATCAGGCTGCTCAATTAGAAGACTGTACAGCTCGATGCAGAGCTCTGCAAGTAGCAATTAGAGAACGTAGAGAGCAGTTGACAAGCAGTACCCAGGGTAGGAGGGGAACAAATGTTATATACCAGGACAAATGTTTTTGATGTTTTTTTTTGATAGGAGAATTGTCTCCAGGCCCATCTAGCGTTCAAGCTCCGTGGGAACGTGCAATCACGCCAAACAAAGTTCCCTATTATATTAATCACAGCTTAGAGACCACTCATTGGGATCATCCGCAAATGATAGAACTATTTGCTTGCCTTCTTCAATTGAATGAAGTTAAATATTCCGCTTATCGTACTGCTCTAAAACTGAGGGTAATACAAAAGAAATTGTGTCTTGAAATGGTTTCGTTATCAACGGCGTCCGAAGCTTTTGATTTGCATGGACTTCGTGGACAAAATGATCGGTATATGCGTATCTATAAAATTTATATTTTAAAGTTTTATAATAATAATTATAAAGTTGATTAACAATTCATATTGCTTTAAATAGAAAAAAAATAATTTTAATGTAATTTAAACAGTCAGTTATAAAATTTATCGTGTCTGCTGTTGAGTTATTTATTCTTTTTTATAAATATTATAGATTGTTAGACGTACCGGATATGATGCTTGTACTGCGGGCAATTTATACAAATGCCTCTACTCAGCAAACAAATATAACCATCGATGTCCCCTTGGTTGTTGATCTTACCCTTAATTGGCTCCTAAACGTTTATGATAGTCAAAGAACTGGACAAATAAGGGTTTTAAGTTTTAAGGTATACATACATACATACATACTAACACTGTATGTTGGGTGGCCTACACACATATGTAGAATTTAAACTTGGTAACTAAAAGAAGAAAAACGCACCAATCTGTTTCCTTCTTTCCTGAAAAAAAAATACTTTCATTAATTCTCTAAAATATTTCAGGTAGGATTAATAATATTATGTCAGGGTCATTTGGAGGATAAGTATAGGTATCTGTTTCGCTTAATCGCTGACCCTCAACAACATGCGAATCAAAGAAAGTTGGGGCTGCTCTTGCACGATGTCCTGCAAATTCCTCGACAGTTGGGCGAAGTGGCAGCCTTTGGCGGTTCTAATATCGAACCCAGTGTTCGTAGTTGCCTTGGAGAGAACCGGGATGAACTTGAAGTGGCGCATTTCCTTGCATGGTTAAAGCAGGAACCACAATCTCTTGTGTGGTTACCTGTATTACATCGTTTAGCCGCTGCTGAGACAGCTAAGCACCAGGCGAAATGCAACTGTTGTAAAGCTTATCCTATAGGTGATTATTATTTTTTTTTAGTGACAAACTTTCAATCTCATTTTCTTATTGATATACTTCTCTAAGGTGTAGCTTTCTTTTATTAGTGGGGTTACGCTATCGCTGTTTGAAGTGTTTCAATTTCGATATGTGCCAGACGTGTTTTTTCGCCGGTCGGACGGCAAAAGGTCACAAGCCGTCACATCCCATGCATGAATATTGTGCTACTACTACTTCGGCCGAAGATGTGAGAGACTTCACTAAAGCTCTTCGCAACAAATTTAAGAGTAAACGTTATTTCCTCAAACATCCACGGGTTGGTTATTTACCCGTGCGTTCCATATTGGAAGGTGACGAATTGGAAAGCCCCATAGCCTCACCACAAAGAGGCAACGACATGCATTCAAGGCTCGAAATATATGCAAATCGTTTGGCGGAGGTTGAATTGAGAACTGCTTCACCAGAGGATGATGAACATCGACTTATAGCTGACTATTGTCAATCGCTTGAGGGTAAGAAGTTACGTTCCTCTTTCTGAGTTCCTAAGTTGACGTTAATTATTTAATTTGTTTTACAAAAATACCAATCGTTTTATCTGGTAGACTTACTTCTATTTTAATTCTTCATTCTTCCACTTTAATCGTGAACAGGTGCTCCAGCAAGTCCTGGTCAATTAATGCTTGTCATTGACGAAGAACAACGTGTGGAACTTCAGGACATGATTCGAGAATTAGAAGCAGAGAACGTGGCTTTACGTCAGGAATACGAGCAACTTCAAAGAGGAGGAATAGGAGGTGCTGGCAATATTCCTCATCCACCTCTTGCTAATCACGACGTCTTAGCTGAAGCTAGACTCCTACGGCAGCACAAAGGACGTCTCGAAGCACGAATGCAGATTTTAGAGGATCACAATCGACAATTGGAGGCACAATTGCAGAGACTGCGACAACTGTTAGACGAACCTCCTGTCACCAATGCAACTTTACAAACTCGTTCGGTGACTGCTTCCCAACTCAATCAGGACGTGCCATCTTCGAGGGCAGCACAACCACCCCCACCCACTGAAATACACCGCCGTTAAACATATCACGAAGCTTTTCATTAATTCTTTTAATTCTCATAAAAAAACATAACTGTAAAAGGTAAGTACTATGTGCAAAAGGTTTGTATCGTTTGCATGTAGACAAGTTAGCCCTCCTGCGAAATTTTATCACTTAATGATAAAATATTTTGGGTAAAATGCACAAAAATTCCAAACAAGGAATACTTTCTACCAGTACTTCAGTTTTTATACATTAAACCACTGTATTGACAAACAAATAGACCAATTTATTACAAATTGGAATTATTATGGGATAATAATGTCTTTCCAACATAAACATTTATAAATGAATGTGCTGTATAACGACCAAAAATTACGAGCGCGTACAAGACTGTAATGGTAACTTTTGATATTTCTTTTGAACGTGGTTTCTTATAGAAGAACATCGCCCTTTTTGACGCATTTTGCAAAGTTTCAAGCATCACCAAAATCTCTGTTAAATTTTATATCTGATAATGTATTTTAATGTAAGTTTAAGATTTACCATTTTATTTACGAGTTATTTAACCCTATTATATCAGATGATACCGATTTCATATAAATTGTTTTAATATTGTAAAAAAAGGAAATTTTTTGAATACAGTTCATTCCCATTTTATATAAATATTGTGATATCTTGATTCATATCGATTATATTGCACAAGCATTCGAAATGGTCTGTATAAAGAACTGTAGCTAATATTGGAGCACTAGGTTGTAACACGTGTTGAACTGAACAACTAGATTAAAAATAGAGGAAGTATTTACAAAAGAAAATGTATGTAACGTTTAATTTTCTGTGCTTTTCTGTGTTAGGTCGTAGACTGATATGTCATTTTATAATTTTTGTTAATTCTTTGTGAACATAGATCATTAATGCACCTATACATAATCAGATTATCACGTACAACAAACCCATACGCATTGAAGTACAATAATCGTTTCTGATTAATTTTTTGGCTGTGAACATTCGTTTATTGCAAATTGTTATTTAAAAGAATATTAATATAGCAAATGTGTTCGTGTGTATTGTTTTAAACGCAAAACTGCTTCTAAATCATTGTAATTGACATAAATCATCATATCAACTGTAATCATATCATCGAAATAAAGTGTTCGTTTAATTATAATAGGTACAACTAAAATTGTTTCAATTTAATTCCTTACAAAAATCAGATTGCGTTCTAATTTCTGGAAAGTGAGGCGATATTTAAAGTTAATGATAAGAAATACGATCAAAATTAGTTGCAAACTTGATTGCTGCGCATTGTAGAATATTGAGAATATTGCTTTTCTATTTAGTTGTACAGTATGCAAATGTTGCGCCTACCTCGGTCTCATTTATTACGTTAAAACGTGAAGATATTTTCGTAGTAAGGTTCAAGTAATGATTCCACGAAATAATGTCAACAGTAATAAAAACAACTTTATGTAAACAATTATCCTTAAAAACAACAAGGGAAACATTGCATATGTACAAAAAGAAAGGTCAGTCATCACATTTATTTAATGTACGTTTTTCGACTAGGAATGTGTGCTTTTCTACTTGGAAAGGAGCAATTACATGCAGCTTAATTCTCTTTGGCTTTTCTCCAGGACGATCTGGTGCAAACGTTTTTGCCTCTCCACCACTCATTAACATCGTCGTAAACTTTATGAGGGAGTGGCGCGTGTAGCATGGCACATAATCTACACCAAAAGAATGTATTAACGAACTCTCCGGTGCCTTTCCATCTGAAATATGAATTGTACTGTTCATCGTCGTTGTCCAATTGATTTAAATATTGCGCTAATTCTTCGGGACTTTCAAAGTTATCCGTGTGAATGTAAGAACGATGAGGGGCAGCCTTCTCGTATTCGCTCGGTCTTGCTCCCATTACCACTGGAATAACGTCGTGTTGAAGACCGTTGACAAAGAACTTTTCAGTTATATAATCTTGGCAATTACTATTCTCGAATGCAAGGTAAAACTTATAGTCGCGGTTAAGGATTTCAAAGCACTTTTGTGAGGAAGAGCGAGGACAAGTAAAAGAACCACATGCGCCATAAATATCAACCTGAATATACTTCGATAGTTCTGTAGCATATGCTAAACGGTGGTTCTTTGCGCCGCAGTTCGATACAAACCATGCTACTTTTTTTGTTTTATTTGCTGCGTAATCTTTGTGCTGTGATTTCTCTTTTACCTAAAACATCATCATTTTATCAGCTTTATTTAAAAATAGCCATAAACAACGTTATGCACTCACATTATCATCATAGTAAATCCATTTCTCGTACGGGGCAACAATATCGCTGTCCATGCGGTACGTAGCCGTCCAATTAATTACTCCTTGCAACCTGGCGAAATTGGATGTGTGATAAGGACATTCAAGAAGGTACAAGATCCAGACCTGATTCTTAGGTCTGGAGAAGCCAGATGAAGAATAACTATCTTTAAACAATATTGCATCGGCATCCATAGCTCGACTTTTTGAAGTATCTAACGAACACCTACTAACCGGACATTGCTCAAATACCGCATTTCCGCTGTGGACATTCCACGCATTGAGTCCATTCCATAGGATGATATTTTTTACTGGTGTTGTAAACTCTTAAAATAATTCGAAACTATCAATATATACATTATCTTCAAAACGTTTATTCACTATACACTAAGAATTCCAAAATTTAAAAAAAAATCAACTGTTCATTACCAAAGGTGCCAATATGTTAACTTTAGGACCAGGGTATGTTTGGGCTTTACCAAAATAGTCCAAATGTTACAGCTTGCGCTTTAGTGCAGGATTAAATTTATGATAATAAAAATTAGTCGAAGATGAGAAGAATTACTTTGAAATTACTAAGTAAAAACTAACTTACCATCGTAGCCCTTAGGGACGAACATCAACTGCTTCTGAATCCTGTCATCTCCGAAGTCCGCTTGTTCTGGTAAAAGATGGACGCCATCGTTAGCATATTCTTTTGGTTTTCTCGAGCCTCCTTTGAAATACCAATCTTTCGGTAAATTCTCTTTCGAATGAGGCTTACTGGTGAGGGTAAGAAGCCATTCGGCGACCGCACTATTACCATTAGATTCGTATGTTTCCGGTACTTCATTGTGCTCTAGAACGGTGCGCTTGTTCCCTAATTGCTCCCCCAAGGGAAACCATAAAACTTTGACTGTGCTTGTTGTAAATAGCAGGAAAGTGATCAAACTAAAACATATCACTAACAGCAACGCTTTGCGTAGACTCACTCGTAACGATGCCACCATAACGGATTATTCATTGTCTAAAAAAGAACAAAAGAACGCAATTTTAATCATCACCTAATTTCTAATGACGATTTTTAATTCATTTCAAGAGTAATGAGAAACAAATCGTTATTTATACTGAAATGCCAAGTCGATTAAAAGAAACAAAACTTTATACATCGTGTACATTAACGCCACGTCAAAAATAATATCTTTTACATAGTACAAGATATAAAGTGATATAGTTATCAGCAGTATCGTAAATTGCGAAATCAATATCAACTACCTAAAGTACCTAATAATTATTACATGTAAACAAGAATTGAATGTATATTTGCTGGACCCCACAGTCCCCAAAATATTTGAATGGAGGCAGTTAAATTTTTGAAAATCGAAAGTACATATTTGGGACATATGTTATATTTATAATGCAGTTTCGCATATTAAACAGGTATTTAAATTTTTTCGTGATACAGGACTACAAGTGTGCAAATCTGACTAGTACCTATCCTGTTCTGATATTTTTTAATAAATAATTTTAACAACCATTAATGTCAGTATTCCCGTTATTTCTGGAATTGAGAAGCCTAATAATTAAACAGCACATTGAAAATTAAGTCGTTGTATTTTCCAAACGTGGTGTGCGTGACTGTTAGCGTCTATCGACGTATATGAGAAATTGATTTATGAAAAATTCATGGACTTTCGTGCTAATCGGAAAACAATACCGTATCTTATTTAACGCCATTAATATGTGTATAATATATGCTAACCACCGCTTTGTTATAAGTTTTGGTGAAACTTAATTGAAGAGAAATACAAACGACGGTGTTCTTTTTTTTTTTTTGATATTTTTATTTTACTGTTAAGTTCTCAACGCGATCATTTTTGGTTTTTATATGCCATAAAACATATAATTTTTTAAATTTTTATGTAAAAAAATACAATACATTTTACCTGCACTTAAGATGGACTGTTGATGAACGTTCCAAGTTTTGATTCTCTTCTAGTTAAGATGATCGCTAAATCCGAGATGTTTTGCAACATACCACTTTTTGATAATTATATAATAATTTTAACTGAAAAAAGAACAAGTAGCCCTATTAATACTAGCAGCGTTGTGTTGCCTTCAAAGAAGTAAAAAGTAGATTATATAAAAAAAAATTATCATCTAAAAACATCCTATCGATTTTTTGTTAACCGACAAATTAATTAATCAACTAAATACAATGCTCAATCTCCTTAAAGTAACTTTAGTGTTAATTTGATTGCTAATTCTTAATTGTCTGATAAAAGATAAACATCAGAACAGATATTCTGAGTAATGGTACAAAAACATAATGATCAATAAATTAAATTGCGATTACAATTAGAAGAAGGTGAAGAAATACTTTTTGCTTATTTGTTTATTATAAATTTGGTAGTATGGTTTTTCTGATTTGATACCTATTTATTAATTTTAATTGCCTGAAAAATGTTCATAGTTCTTCAGATCTAGATGGAAATCTTTTAACAAAACATTTTGTTATTTAAAAGTTAAAAAAAATAGTTTCAGTTCGTTAAACATGTAAAGCCTATTAATAAATTATTTTTACTGCAAAATAAAATAACTAGTTATGGACAATTAAACCTATACGCATCCTTATAAAATACAAAAAAAAAATATAACTTACATTGTCGACATAATTATTTTAATTGTGTTTTATATTGTGTAGTTTGCGTAAAAAAAAAAATATACTTCACATACTACCACACTCAATTTCGTTGAAAAGCATCGACTAATATTTAGTACTTTGTACAAAAATCTATTCACGTGTGGGACTATTTGAAAAATTGAATATTATCTCTTCGTTAGAGATAGCGAAAACGATAAAAACATTCAATAACGAATGTACTTGCCATTGTTTATTAATTGTACAATGTATTAGTTTTACCTTTACCTATATTAATTAACCTTACCTATGTTGTTAACAATGGCTAAACATAATTTGAAAACGAAAGAAAAGCGCATATCCGACTTAAAATGCTATTTCCGCCATTAAGTATACTTAATACACTAACTGGCGTACTACAATTTAAACTTGAAAATTGATTAAAAAGACCTGAGATTATGAATCATTTAAATCGATTTTGCAAAAACACATCGTAGTCACTTTACGACACCCTGCCGCGCTTTTATGAAAAACTACTGTAAAAAGCGAAATTTTGTGCATCCAAATTTGAAAATTGATTAAAAAGACCTGAGATTATGAATCATTTAAATCGATTTTGCAAAAACACATCGTAGTCACTTTACGACACCCTGCCGCGCTTTTATGAAAAACTACTGTAAAAAGCGAAATTTTGTGCATCCAAATTTGAAAATTGATTAAAAAGAAACCGAAATAATAATAATTACGACACCATTTTCGCTTGGGCGGCATAAAAATAAACACTGTCGATAAATAAATGTGTAATGTCCTTGTTTGGCGAACCATTTGCCTTCCCTGTATACATAGGTAGTGCTAAAATAGTTTTGATAATATCGATACGTATTTGCTAAAAATAAGGAAAATCAAAAGGAAGTTAGCAAAAATATGATCTAACCGGACATCATTTTAAGTAAAAGTTGATTTCATTTGAAATATAATCTGCATTGAGAATGATTCATCATAAGCGATATCATTAAAATGTTGGAAAACTTTAAAACTTTTTTTATTATATTTTTTACCATCACTGCCTTGGCAAAGCGTATTTTACTGAATCATTTTATTTATTGAAACGTTTAGGTTTAGATGTTTGTTTTTGTTTATTTTGCTTTGTTTCTATAATACAAATCTTTTTTTTTATTGTATTTCATTTGATTTAAATTGTCGTAATTATTGTTACGCCTAAAACAGGTCGATTAAGTAATTATACATACACTACTTTGGAAATTCTACCAGCACATAATCTATTTAATACTTTGCGTAAATCAAGAATTTATCTAGATAATTGGTTTATTATTTTGAATCATTGCCAAATTACTATCTTTGCCGATAGGTATGTTTATGGCTTATTGCCGAAATTAGATCGTTGGAATGAAAAACGATTGGTATAGATAAAAATTTTCTATTTAGGAAACCACAATTAAAGTGAAATCGCCACGTAATAAAATTAATCGGCAAACAAAAAAGCCGTCATACTTCGACCCACTTTATAAATAGTATTACTTGTATGTCAAGCCTTTCATTATGTCAAAAAATAAAGTATATTATAGATAAGAAGATATAAATAAAACTTAACAAGTGTATCACTACTTTTCAGTTAAATCTGGAACAATTTCCGAAAGGATAATCAAAACTTTTCGAAAACTTTTTACCTCTAATAAATACCTTTCTTTTTTTTATAAAAAACACTATAACAACATCATCATTACATCAATAACTTAAAAAAAAAAACAATATTTAATTGTAAGTTAAGTATTTTTTTTTTGGAGCAGACTTCATATTCTCGGTAACAATTCAATTGAAATTGTTAATAAGGCATTTAAGGAAAAGCATTCATTGATTGAGTAATGCCATTGTTTTAAAATGTAATGTTAGAAATTATACTTTTATATCCAACACAAGTTATAATTTTTTTTTCCAATTTTAGATTTGTACCCATGTTATAATTATTGAGCAATTTCTAGGTTTATCTGAGCAATGCATTTTTATTTATGTCANATAAAAATTGTTTTAATGTATACTTACCTACTTAAAAAAAAATAAAAAAAATATTTAAACAGCGTAATTGCATTACATGTGGTAAACGATTACAAATTTTAGAAATTAAAAAATGCTATAAATTTATTAAAAAACTTGAAATAATTTGAAAATCTAATCGAAACTTTGTATTGGATAAACATTTTGTAATTACTCATGATCTTCCTAGGATTAAAAAGGTTTAAATGTTTGGGCTCTTAATGTTTCCAGTAAACAAATTAATTGTCCACAATTATTTTTTATTCCCACTCTGCGAGTTATTAACTTATGTAGGAAAAAGGAAATATGTGATATGCCTACTTATAATACAGTAATTATAATGTTTCTGTTGAATTAATAAAAAACAAAAATGTAAAAACTTACGCTTCTTATTTTCGTGTTTACATTTGGATTCGCTTTTCCACTGAAACGTTGTGGAGGTATCGACATCCACGAAAAAGGGTAGGAAAATCCATACCTAGAATAAGAGTCGGATAGACGCAATCGCAAAACTTTCTTCCCGTACGGGCGAGGCGCACTAATTTCTTTCGCTAAAACTATCTCTAAAACTGACGGTATCATTGATACGGAAATTAAGCAAGTAAAAAAAATGCGCAAACTGTTTTACACTCGTTTATATATTTGAACGTACACCTAAATGCAACTAATGATAACTGAATGTTAAGGCTAGGAGCGCACTACAGTTTTCTGCCGCGAGGCAGATCCTGTAAATACTTACTCTGTTCCGCATTGCTAGTTAATGATTTGATTTCGCAACATGTACATACAGGAGAGGGTCTAATGACTTATTAGTTGTTATGGAAAACTTCATAAAAGACTGCAATAGGTACAATTTCTTTGTAACTTTTTTTATGATTTTTCAGGTTTTCCTTAAAACATTTACTGCCTGGCTTTTACCATTTTTTATGAACATAGCGTCTAGCACTTCCGCCATATGTTGATAATTAATTCAATAATAAAAGCTTCAAATATCTTTTAAAGGAATTTGCTCGTTTTTAAACATTTATCAATGAAAATATAATGCGGATGTAGACAATGGTAGACTTACAGATAATGAAGTATTCTGGACTAATTGAAGTAACTTTTTACAATAGGTACCTAACTTTTAAATACTTCACGACGATTAGTAAAAAAAACAATTTCCCGTTTAAAATTCAATTTCTGGCAGGTTATTTTGTCGCGCGGCAGGATAGTGCGCACCTAGTTTAAATCGATCAATATTGTTTAGGAAGGCGCAGGGTCATACAATAAAAAAATAAAATTAAGGTGTTATTCCTGTAAGAGCACGGGTCCACTCTTTTTCAAATACGAAATCGATCTTATGATAAATTTATAATTTTCTCCTGATACATTATTTAATGAATAAGAAAACTTAAACCGATAATGATAATGCGGTAAAGGCGTAAATAATTTCTTTATCATTCCAAAATACTCTAAAGAATTTGTATGTGAACAAATTAAACTTCAGCACAACATATTTGATGGTTCTATTACATAAGTTCTAATTAGTTTATCATCTATACATTGCAATTTTTGCCAATTGAATAAATAAATACTCTTCTCAAAACTTGTTTCATAGTTATTACACAATTTATTCATTTCAATTATTGGTAACGCAGCACTTTTGCGTTATTTAACTAATAGAATATTAACATTTAAGGAAATAAAATAGCAGACCATGTAGATAATAAATAACTCAGATTGTATATTAAAAATATTTCTCAAAGTAACCAGCGATTATTATATCCAACCACAATTTACTTCCTACTTCCGTAATTTTTTGTTATTTAATAACAAATTTTAAAAATTATAAACAATATGTATCAGCAATAATTTATAAACAGGTCCTACTCCATCCTTTTTTACAGCTCAATAAAAGTTTTCCGAAATAGAAGGGAAATCCACCAATTCTAAGCGTTCACAATAAAAATTATCTAAACGATGACTTGTGTCCCTACTCAATAATAATTATTATTACACAAGTCTGATTGAGGTCAGAAGTCAAACGTTTACCTATCTTCTTTAGGGAGGGTACTGAACCGTATAGTGTTTCAAATTTATTTAATGCGCTTGTTTGCAAAATCACTTACGTATCGGCATTGAATATCATTAATGATTAATAAAAAAATCATTACACTTTTAAAAATACTTAGGTTTCAAGTATCGGATGACATACGTGTATCTGAACCTTCACAGATCACTAGATGGTCATTTATATTATGATTTATTAAAAACTATCAAATTACTTCCTAATTTAATTTTAATAATTTCAACAACACGTAGGGACATATTTTCGGTAAAATTTCTGAAAAAACAATTAAAAATACTTTTCGAGTTTCTTGTTAGTCACTAAACCTTTCAAATAACGCCCTGCATGAGGCATATATGAAAAAAATGTAAACTAAAAAAGTTACTCACTGTAAACGCACCTTCTCATCACCAACAAATAAAACATTTGAGTAAACGGTAAATTGTTATCTTTTTTTAGATAGCACCGATATCTTAATGGGTAAATAATCGTAAATTCGCAAACACACTTTATTTATGAGCTTTAATAGCGGCTGTGGCTTCTCTCTTTAGTTTACTTAACTGATCTGCTAGTTAGGGCTCGGTGTTTGAACTAAAACGTGTTAATAACATAACAGAATCCAGTTTACTAATTACATTTATTAACACCAAATAAAAATTTTAACTGGCAAGTATGCTGATACCCCTGACGTAAAAAGTTATTAAATTCAAAAAAAAAGAATAGTCAATAGTCCTGCTTAACAATCTTGAACCAAAAAATCTGAAAGATTATTATCAATGCACTATCTACTAAAGTATTTTTTATTGAAAAGTGATCCTTATTATACTTTAAGAAACTTTTTCACAATGAATATCCATTCAGTACTGACCATTTTTAAAATATTTGACTTAAGTCATATTATCTACCTTAAAGAACATGTTACCTATTAACTAAATGTGCACGTTCACAGCACCCGTCCTCATTACACGCCAAATAATTATATTAAGATATAATTGCTTATCTCCACAAATTTTACAGAATAAATATTCATTTTGGTTCAGCAAATAAGCTAATTACAACAGCGATACAGTAGTACCTAGTAACTGCAATAATTTAAAAGTATAATGCAGAACGATAACATGCCAAACCACATTTTTTTTTCTTCTCTACTTTATCGTTACAGTAATAGAAACAATTAAGATAAATTTTATTAGAAAAACTAATGAACCAAAACAAGAGTGTTTGATAGTTTCAACAAAACTGTAAAGCCAAATAAAAAAATACTGTTTAGCTTTTTCATCTGTATTTTCAGAAGATGCGCACTTTTCGCATAAAAAAATCTACAGTATTTCAGATTTCTGCTCAATTTCAAAATTAAAATAAATTTTGCTAATAACTAGATTCGTTCAAAAGAAATTAAATGTTCAATTGAAAAAAAAGAATTAATGAGTAAAATAAACTTACATTTATAAGAAATAAAAATCTTATTGATTGATAAAATCACCATTTTAGAGTATTCAATCGGAAAACTTTGTGGCCAGGCATCTTCATCCTTTCTATCTTGAGCTAAGCTTCGCATTTTCCAAAAACTAGAACATTCTGATTGATAAAATAACAAATTTTTATTACAATACACAACTTATTAGTTAATTATACACACATTAGAGTTGCAGGTAGTGTGAATTTAGTAACTCCTTCAGGGGTTGCGTTTTCCCACGCTGAAAACGCTCCAAATAGAAGTGAACCGATAGATTGCACCTTACAAAACTAAAGTGGGGGGGGGTGACATTAAAGTGCTGAAATAAACTACACCTCATCGTATAAGTACTTTTTTTAGCTAGAACCAACTGTGCGTTACTTCTTGGACAATCCTCGTACAAGTTTATAAATTCTAAACAGAAGCACCAGATAACGATTATCATTCATTTATTTATTTATATTTTACAGTTTAAAATAAAAATAATTCATACAGAACAAACAATTTCTTAAAATGAATGTAGCAAGAAGTAAAACAAAAACTAAATTCTATTTTTGGTACACATAAATTTATTCCAACACTGTTACAAGGAACAATCACAAACTATAAGTGCTCTACGTCGAGGTCTGAAACTTGGACATCCCTTAATAATACAAAAGCCCCCAGGGGTGCAGTCTTTGTTGTTATTAACAATTAAATGCTTCAATAAGCCAAAGAGTAAAAAGTCAAATGCAACTTTTCCGTTATTTTATTGACCTTCGCGTTACCAAGGGCAGGAAGTTCCAAATCTCGAAGCTCATATTCTGCTTAAATACTCAACCAATAAATAATAGTATAAACGATTCACAAGCGTGAAAAGTAAACACATTTAGAAAAATTGTTAGTGTTGATCAGTAGTAATAATAGTAATAGAAGTAGAAATAGTGGTGATAATAGTAATAGTAGCTTTAAGCAGTAATAACTACGTGTAGGTATACTTGTCAGACAAATTATCAGGGTCATTTACACATATGTATAACTACTAGCTTTTTTTCACAATGAACACAGATCTCTAACATTAAGGCGCAAGGGGGTAGAATTGCTTTCAATTATTATTGATAGAAAGATGACAGTCGTCTATTAATTTAATGATAATTGTATTATCATTTCTATTATTTAGCTTTCCTCGGGGTAATATTATATTATTATTATTATTATTACATATATTTACAAAAAAATCGACACGTTCAGCTATTTTGTTTATATTCGAATATAAGTTCGTAAATTGGTCACCTTATTCCACCTAAAAAAATACCACCACAAAAAAATCAATCTATAAAAACCGTTCGCTGCTGATAAATTTTACAATCTATTATTAAGAAGCCAATTTTCATGAAAATGCTTAGGCATTTACGGCCGGCATTATCTGACTGGAGTTCGATATTAGAGCTTCTGTGATTTTCATCCTCAAAGAGCGTGGCGAGGGCCCAGGAAAATAATGAATTTAATTAAAAGTGAATAAATAATAGGTGTAGCAGTGGAATAATCGTGACCTCTACGTTTCACACTTTGCAATAATTACTTCTTATCACTGGCAGGTACTTAAGCAGTCATTTTCAGTCTATAAACAAAATTATTCAGTCTTGTGTTATTGTTTAATCTAAATAAACGAGAAGTAATCCGTTATTGGCTGACTTATGCTTAAGTGCACTGTTAAAAAGACAATTTTGAAGAATTAAAGCAAGAAATTTACAACTGGCTTCAGTCCTCCAACAATCTGCTTAAAGAACAACACGTGAACAAATGTTCAGTTGCAAATTAAACAAAATAGCAGAACAGCACACGTGTCAGACGATAAAGAAAAGGAGACGAGAAAGAAGGGAAGAAAACATCAAAGATAAGGCCCACAATGAGAAGAACCTACACGGAACATTGAATATTTTTTAATAATGATCTCTTTATGCGTTTTGTACACAAAAATAATTGACATCAACTAGGCCTATGGCTAATTTTCACTAACTACTTATTGGTATCCACAGAGCTGTGTCTAATGTTCATAAAATTCCATTATTTAATATCGTACCGATTACCAGGGACATCTTTGCAATCGAGAGTCGTAAGTAGAGGTTTTAGGGCCCCTGCATCTCAAAAATATTGCACACTTCCAGTATTTCAAGATACTTTTGGTTATTTTTTGGAAAAATTAATAAAAAGATTTTTCAAGAGAGCTTTAAAAGAGGTGCTTTTAAACCATGCAACAGCTTACATTGTGAAGTTATTATTTTACATGCAATCGATGGTGTCAGATATTACACATCATTGGTAACTACTGAAGGGCCATCCATCTATTACGTCACACTGTTTTGGCCACTTTTTGAAACCCATCCCCACTTGTCATGCAGGTCTCATACCGTCCTCCCCACCTGTCATTTGACTCCCTCCCTCTATTGTCGCATTTCGTCAGGTTACCTCAAGACTACCCAAACCCTGGCAGCGTGACATAATACGTGAACAGCCCCTAAGTCGCATTTTTTTATTTTTCCTCTCTAATTCTGAGCAACCTTTAGATAACGAAAATAAACTCTAAAAATGACGTCGTCGTAGGAAGTTCTTAAAATTAAAATGCTGTTAAATAATACTAACGTAGTAGTTTTACAATTAACAGCTCCATGGTGCCAAAATAAAATATCATTTGAACGTAATCTCTTAAAAGCAACGAAATAAATAAATCATAACAATTAAGTTACTTTTTCCTATAAAGTATAAAGCAACCTCTTACGCTCGCCATTCTATACATACTCATGATTCGCAATCTCCTAAACTGGTCACATCAAACTGTGACCAGTTATTTATTTTCAGTACAAAGCAATATAACTATGTACCTACTACTTAATTTTTACTCTCTAAAGGATCTTGCTTAAATTTGTTTTATAAATAAAATATTTATTTACAAAACCAACGGGTATAATGTAATGTAACTTTAATAAAATGTAAAAGTAATTCTTTCTAACACTATGGGTAAGTATTAGCAAGAATAACGACTATAAAAATTGTTTTAAAAAAATTAATCGACCTATTTTGTGTCATGGCTACTTGTAATTAACACTTTTTGGGAATTCGAAAGGTCAGTATTCTCAAATGAAGCCCCAAATGTCGCCATACAAACAAAGATAATAATTCTTAATTACATATTCTAATTGTAAGAATTGAATAAAATCAATAACTACAACTTAGTTATTTTTTTTACAAAATAATTTTTTACTTCATTTCTTTTTTTATCAATTTTACTCTTGACATAACATCAGTATTATGGCTTTGGCCCCCTAATAATATTAAGCCTTTTACAAAAAGTACAAACCTATTGCCATCGTTTAATTCGTATATTTTGTCTATTATGTCTGAAATCATAATTTTCATAAAAGTGTATTATTTTCATTTATAAATAATAAATATTTCTATCTTAATAAAAGACACAATGAAACTGCAAAATTTAAATATAAAAAAATGTCAAAACATTCCGTTTATTGAACAGTTTAGTTCAGCTAGTCAAAATGTAAACAAACGTTTACTAAAAATAACATGAATGTTTTCAGATATAGTCAACAGAAAAGTAATAGAAAACGGTCCAAGTGCACCTAGCTACTACATTTAATAAAAAAGCACTTAATAAGGCTGATTTCGCAAAACTTATTAATTCAAACATTTCACATCCTAAAATCCATTATTTGGAATAAATCAGTATTTATTTTGACCTAACGCGTCACTGTTTATTTATAATATACCTGAACTTCGTAGGACAAACGGGGAAAATGTTTAAAAACGCCGCACACACCTTAACAATCACACGAAATAAAATTAACAGATCAAATAATGCATAATAAATAAATCAAATGTACGTGTGCAAGTCCACACACAAATAAATTGTTCATCCATAGACTACCATCACAATAATTACTCTACAACGAAGAAAATCAATAATAAAATAGTAGCGGGATAAATGGGACAATTCAAAGAAAATGATAAACCGTATCATTAAAAAGAAATGGTGGGAAACCGGCCAGGCGCTAATAGCATACTCTTTTGCTTTCACTACCAGAAGGAACGGGAAAAAGGTACTTTATCACAAGAGAAACCAGAGAGTATAAATAAACCATAAACTCAACGATTGCCAGTTCCTTAACCAGAAGTGGTAGGGTATATGAGAGACAAAAGCGAGTTGAAGCCGTCTTCCAAAACAGCACAAACAAGAAAAAGTCACTCGAGTCTCGCACTATTAGTCTGTGGCAGTGTCTGTCTGATTCGCGCCCTAAAATTAAAAACCGAAAAACGAAAACAGAGATCGAGACGACTGCAAAGTTTACCAACTTTCCTCGTCTCCCTCCGACTCTTCCTCTTCCTCTTTAACATAGACGGGATCTTGGATCACTTCCTCAGTGCCGCCCCACAGGCGTCGTTTCTTACTTGCCTGTATGGCAGCCATGTCCTCGGCCGAGCGTTCTTTACGAAACTCGTACACCAACGGGTATATATACTCTATGGCAGCCTGCACATCGGCTACACTAGGTGCTGAAGAAACAGAAAATGCGTTAGTAAATTATATACACATATGGATTTCTGATATTTTTCAAAGAACCTGTTTTCGATTTTGATTTATCCGGAAATAACAATAACAAAAATCATGTTCTTCATTCATTTACTGGGTACTAATAAAAATTTTACAAAAAAATTCATACCTGTTACTGTAACACTTCCAGTTGAGAATATTTTTAATGTTGCTTTTGGATTTTTCAATTTATAAGTCACACCAGGATGCAACTCTGGTTCATAACTAAAAAAGTAAAAAAATATCTATTGAAATAAGAGCTTTATTATGTTATTATTCACTCAGATATTTAATGTTGATTTTTAACAAATTCAAAAATAATTATTCCAAATTTTAGAAAGAAAGACAAACTACAAAATAAGTACCATATAAATAATTGTTTCATGACTCTCAGAAATGAAACACAAGCCATTTTATCTATGTATAAATTTTCGAATCTTGTTTTATTTATTTAAGTTTTGTATTTACTATTAACAACAGAAAATTGAAACTTTTGAAAACATCTCTTGTTTCCACAATGACAAAACATTTCAAGTTTCAGACTATATAGGTACAATATTAAAACTTTTTTATATAAATAACATGAAATGTACAATTAAAATGTTAAATAATGGGAATTGTTTACTTTTTTGTACTAATAAAATATTGTTTCTTATTGTACATTTCATGGCAGAAATAGGTACAAAAATTATTCATTCATTCATATACCAATAATATGATTATCAGTACACTAGACTTAAAGTTTAGCATATTTTCCAAACCACAACAATAAATATGCCAAAATGTTACCTTCCAGTCAAACAAACTTTTTGCCACTGCCATTCAAGATTCAGAGCTAATGTAAATGATCAACCAACAAACGACCATCATTTTCTCAACGTATTACATGATACATTACCTTTTTAAATTAAAATATTAAACTGCTACTTACTCAGCCTCTTTGTGTCGTTCAGAGAAGAGATTGATCTTAATAGCGAAGGGCATACAGCAAGTGCCCAGAACATTGACTACCCTGTAATTATTGAAGCGAACGTTGAATCCGAGCTTCTGCAGAAGGCGCGCGAATCTCCGGGCCGCAATCTTAGCCTGCAATTCGCTAGTCGCACCTGTACATGTGACCTTCCCTGATGACCAAATGCTTGCTGTAGTATAGGGTCGTCGCAGCTTCATGGTAATCATGCCGTTTTCCCGCCTGTACTCCACGTTGATGCCATGCAATGCAATTTCACGCAAGTTCAAATGACACCGTAGACTGAAACTGCACACCACGTTGTTTATGACTATGTCTATTTCGGGCTCCTCACATTGGCTAGTCTCGATCTTGGGTGCAGCCTCTGATGTAGGGACGTCCCCGTCCAGTGTCACGTCTTGTGCGGCCAGATCTTTGCACTGAGTCACATTTGATGAGGAGTATACGTCGGGAGTTCCCCCATATACCTGGTCTACTTGATAACCGCTCAATTCGATATCCTGTACTTCGTGGGTTGCCACAAGACTATTGCCATTTGATAAGGGCTTCATACCGTTCTTTTGAACAGCAGCGGCCATAGTATGCTAAGAAACCTTTTATAAGTAGACCTTTTGATCCTGGTCTCTGAAAAAAAAAATAATAATTTGACTGTCATAATGGAACCATTTAGCAATTACAATGTTAAACAGATTCTTTAAATACTTACTAAAATAAGTTCATACATATACAAACAAATAATGTTTGTATTCTGGCACATCGTAATGTGCCACATTACAAAAAAAGACTTTGTTTTACACAGGTAGGTAAAAGGAAAAACAATATATTCATGTATGTATTAGATTAAAACTTTATTATATTAAGTAATTCTACAACCTATCATAACTTAGAGATTTTATAATTTAAAAAGTTAATTTTTTCAAAGCATTATATGTATACTGTACAATAATCATTTTAGTTTTTAAACTCACTTTTCAGTATTCTCTAAATTAATGTAGGAGGGTAGGTAATCCTCTTTTAAGCATGTTTGTTTTTGTTTCTTGCTAAAAACAAAACTGAATATAATCAATTGTAGGAATGTTCACCTACACATACCATATATCATACTATTTTAGAAAACAGTTTCTTTTATGATTAAGAAAAATTAATTGGAAATAACTCTGTTCTTTTACACATCAGTAATTAAAAAATACCAAACTAACAATTTCATTTCATTATAAATTATAAGAGTGTGATGAAGTAACACAATTCCTGTAAATCATAAACATATTAAATAGTAAAGTACAACTTAATTTCAAGTTTTGGTGACATTAATTCCTGCTAAAATTTAAATACCTACTTACACTACAATTTAACAAATTGGGGCGTTAAAAAATTGACTTGACACCCAACTTTTATTTAGACAATGAACAAATATTTAAGGACGATTTTTATTTTACTAAAGAACAAATTGTATTTTAAACTCATTATAGTTTAAAATTGGCTACCGTTTTAATGTATGTACTTACAATGTTTGCAAAAAATTTTTCGTTAAAAAATCAACCATTAGAGCCTAATGTCCCCAACAATGACGCACTATTTTTCTTGTAGGACAAATATTTGACAATAAATAGCAATAAATCCTTTAATTTTTTACTTATATTTATGCAATATTTACTATAGACGATTACCCCATCGTTAAAGCAGAAGGTTAATTTAATGAACGTATCAAAAACTGTGGCAAAGGAAGTATTTAAAAGGAAAATTTTATCGAATAACTACGAAAAATCTCTTGATGATTACTTACAGTTATTGCACACAACTTGAGTTAAAAATCCTAATAAATACACTACTGTTTACAGTAAATAAGCTTAAAGAAATGTTTAAATAAGAATTAATCACGATTAACACCATTGTTCGGAGCCATGACACATAAACGACACCAAAAAGACTGACGGGTCGGCAACCATATCGGCAACGAGTCGGTCTCGTCGGATGGAACGAAACCGAACCGAAAATTACCGAATCCATATAATTTATGTGTTATATACAGGGGCTGTTCGAAAAAACAATTTACGAAATGGAATAAAAATCATCAAATTAATTTTTTATTAAGAACCTATTTTGACTTACAGAAATTACTTTAAATTTACTTCGATTAAAGCAGCTATTCAGAAACTAAAAATAGTTTGTACAAATACATCGAAAAAATTAATGTTTTAAATGATTACCTTTACGTTGTTTAATAACAATTTTCCATTTAACTGGATTCTTTTCCGAAGATGTAAGTTGTGCAATTCTTTGAACTTCAGTTAACCTAGGCGAGCCTGTTTGTTCATGTCTTAAAAATGCATTTTTTAAATTTTTATTATGCCCAGCAGAACAAAACGGATTGTTGCTAGATATATTAACGTTTCTTATTTCTTGTATGTTTCTAGAAGAAGGAGGAACATGCTTACTGCTTTCGGAATTCTGAAATGTTTAATAAATTTTAAATGTAGGTACAATATATAGCCTTATGTTTTAGATAAAATAGTTACATTTTCAGTTAATGTGATGGACTGAGTAAATTGAGAATCCGATTCTGGTAGTTCAGTATTTGAATAAGTTTTATCCCTTTCACCGTTTCTTTCTTTTGTAGAATTATCTTCTGCTGCTGTAAAATACTTCCATTAAGTCAATAACAGTTTGCAAGTGAGTTTTATCTTAGATCAGTTCATGAGAAAAAATATAGAAAGACGTGAATCTAAATAATTATTATTGTTTTATTATTAGAAATAAAAAATATTGAAATAGTTCGAAAACTTATTGAATATACTTTGTATATACCTTTCTATTACATCCGAATGAATGACCCGAACTACCGAACCGAAGTTTGACGAAACTTAACGAAAAGTTTTAAACAGCATTTAAAAAGAGTCATAGGCGGAGTGATTTTTAGAATTGTAAGTACCAAAAAACAAATATTTCCCAAAAAAAATAATTAATTGTTAATCTTTTGTAAAAGGTATATCATATCAATTGAAAATAAAAAAAAATGGTAACCATTATGTAAATCCTCGACATTTTGCAGAAGACCCATCTGAAAATTGAATGTCATACTGCGTTCAATTGACTGACTACTATTGGACGATTTTATATCTCGTTCCGGAAAACAATTAAACGCCTAAAATTTTTAAATAACCAACTGAAAATGTGAACAGCATGAAAAACTACTTACTTGGTCATCTTCTGGACATTTTTTGTCAGTATTTAAAGTAGAAGAGTTAAAAGGAGGTTTCTTTTTGTTATTTTGTAAATAATAACAGCGACTGTTATTCAAGTTGTTATTAATGTGGTTTTCTTTAAAAAAGTTCGTCGAGGGTACGACCAATCCAACGGGATTTAATTCTGAGTAATTCTGAGTGAAAAAGGTATTGCTATTTTCCTGACAGGTTTCCAAAAGGCCACTTCTTGATTCTTTTTCAGGAATGTCGTTTTGAGAATAATGAACATTTATAGGAATCTTATTAGTATATTTTGTAGCCTGTTCGTTTACTCGGTTTTTGTATGAATATTTCTTATTTATATCCGCTAGTGAGTCATTCGCATTAATGATGTCCTTTAAACGCAATATCGAAGACTTATTATTGTTTTCTGTTTGGCATTCTTTATCTAGTTGTTTTGACTGACTGTTCCTCTCATTATTTTTTACTGTACTTAGTGTAAGATTTATTTTAATTGGCTCCAATGTACCATTTGTTAGCGCAGATTTATTAATAGCAGTATGACTGTTTTCGGTATTAGTACTTGCCGTAACTTTTATCTGATCCTGTAAAACGGCAACATATTGTACACATGTTTGGGTATTTTGATCACATTTCATTTTTGAAATTGATGTCTTTTGAATCAAACAGCTCGCTTGTAAATTATTTTTTTGTTCAATTAGAGCTGTTTTGTCTTGTTCGATATAGTAATGGCATCCAAACGTGTCCATTTTTAAATGCATTTTTTCTTTTTTATCGGTTTTTAAATGTTTGTTTGAATTATGCATTGAAATGTCATGAGACGTATTGGTATTAAGTGAATCATGAAGATTTTCTTTGTAATCCACTTCTTCAAAAAGATTGCTAGATGTAGAAACCTCCCAAGTATTTCTCTTAGCTTTTTTTAATTTACTTTTGACTATACTGATAACGTTGCATTTTTTTAAATATTCGGAAGATACTTTTTTGAAAGTACTGTGTGAAGAAGGCGTCTCTCTTTTTATCGAGACGTTATCTTCATTTTGCATGTCAGAAGGTCTGCTATCATTGCTATTGTCATTTAAATTGTAAATAGCTAAGCACTTTTCTGAAGTATCTTCATAATCTGATGACGATCGTGATGGGAAGTATCGGACATTATTTCGTGAGTTTTCATGCTGATAATCTTCAAAAAGACTGACAGGGACTTTTTTTACACTTAATTTTTCCACAACATAATCATATTCTTCTTCTTTTAAGTTACTTGCTGGTTTAACAAAACAAAATTCTGTACGTTTAGGCCGAGATGCAAAACAACACAACCAACTACGAAGAAATACACTTGGTTTGGAGTCTAACTCGGCCATAAAGAAATAATGGCTTCAATAACGGTTTTAGTACATTTTTTAAATTTTTATTAAAACCTTTCAATATTTAAAGTGTACAGTAAGTCAACAGTCAAACTAATCAGAAGTGATGAACCGAATCAATTATTTGCTAGGGTTCTATAAAAGAAATTACATTTTTTTAATTCCTATTCGGTAAATTTACTTTTAAATATTAACAAAACAATTCACAATATACTTACAAGTAGGTCTGTACTCAGACACTAAACCGTTTGTTAATAAAACAGCTCCAGAATCATGATAAATATCTTTCGCATTGCCACCCCCAGGCTTCCAATAAAAATGAGACATAATGTCCTTTAAAACTGCCCAATAAGGAGATAANATGAACCGAATCAATTATTTGCTAGGGTTCTATAAAAGAAATTACATTTTTTTAATTCCTATTCGGTAAATTTACTTTTAAATATTAACAAAACATGTCACAAAAGTTTTTATTATCGGATCATATTTTTTTACGCAAAACAACTCAGATGAAAAACATACGTGACGCCACTGGTCTCTTCAATGGTATAAGCCATAAGTATTGCACATTTCATAGATATTACTGTAAATCCCAAAATAAGTAGTTTGTAAATGCAAGATATTTGCAAAAAAAGTGTTTTAATTTGATAAAAGATAAGTGTGATTTTAAAATGCATCAAATTACAAATTTACCGTGGTATTTTCATTTTATAAGTATTGCGGTTTTTTAGTTGATATAGCAACCGTGGATATAACCTAAAATTTAAAATAAATAGTGTTATTTTAATGTTGAATGATATAATTTAAGTTTTCTGATTAGTAGACAAAATGTGCCTTTTATTTTTCGTATCGTACTACATAAGTGTGGTTTTGTGTAGCAGTGAACATTTTACAGAAGAATTGTTAATTAAACCATTACATTCTGAACAAGTTTATACACATTTTCATTTTGTTACAAAATGGGATTCTGATCCAAATACGGAAAATTGTAAGTAGATTTATATTTAGAGTCCATTCTCTTATTATTAAATAAATAAAATTTTTAATTTTAGTTCGGCATACAAATATATTTTCGCGAGCAATAGGTGAAATTATTCATCGGTATAATGTCCAGGAACTGCATCTTAGTTTAACAACAGGACTGTGGCGGTATGAATCGTGGGGTTATCCAGTAGTAAATGCAGGTCCTGGAGCGGAATTATGGGTTTGGTTTAAACCTGATACAGTTAATGTTGATGACAAATGGAAGTTTTTAACAAATGCTTTATCAGGTTTAATTTGTGCTTCATTAAATTTTATTGATAAGACAAATTCTGTCTCTCCAAAATACTCTTTTAAACCATCAGGATTAGTAAGAGAGCCTATAAACAGTACATTTTTAAGATATGCATCACTGCCGAAGGAACATGCCTGTACAGAAAATTTAACTCCTTGGAAAAAATTATTACCATGCAAGGGAAGAACAGGTTTGGGTTCTTTATTGAATGCTGGTTACATTCATAATACTAGGTATCATTCATTGTCAATTGCCATTCGAACAGTTTGTAGAGACGAATCTTGTACTGTACCGTCTTTAATTCTTGAACAAACAGTTGGATTAACATATGATTACCAGATGTTAGGTACAAGAAATTGGTCAATTCGTAGGCTGTTTGGTCAAGGAATTTTGGGACCATGTCCTTTAGCAGAGTCCACTACAGTTTATGTAGATACTGGCTCGAACTTTAGTATTCCTTTCAGTCTGTCCCCTTCTCCAAATGAGTGGCTAACTTCATTGAGAGGTGGTCAAGAAGGAAGATTTGCCAAATACACAATTACTTATAAACCTATCAGTATTGCTTCCAGTTATAATGATAAACAAAATGTATTACTTAAGTCACCTCCTCCTTTGTTTGCTAGCCAGTACTTCACTTATTATGGTCAGGAAAAAGGCGGCCTTAATGTTAAAATTCATAATAACCATTGGGCTTCCCTGGATGTGGTTGTCTTGCAAAACATTCCATGGATCATGCCACTTTTCTTGCACACACTTTCAATGAAAACAAATGGTAAAGAAAATAAACCATTAAAGTTATTTTATATGCCGGGAAAAATGCGTGAACGTCCTACTCATTTCGAATATGTTCTTCGATTACCTGCCAAGTCTGTAACTATAATTTCCGTCGAGTTCCGTTATACATTCTTAAAATGGACAGAATATCCACCAGATGCAAATCATGGGATTTACATACCCCCCGCTGTTATTTCGGCACTGTTACCCCTTGCTAGAAACATTACCAGCCTACCACAAGACGGTGTAACTTTTTCGGATAGTTTCAATGCTTCACGAAGCAGTTATTTAGTTCAGATACGTACCGAATCTGTGATTATCACTTTACCAACCCCAGACTTTAGTATGCCATACAACGCAATATGTTTAGCGTGTACAGTAGTGGCTCTCGCGTTTGGACCTCTCCACAATATTACCACCAAACGTCTGGGAAGAAAAACTAAGGACAAGGAAAGACTACTGACGAAAATTAAGCGAAAACTTAAGAATGTGTTCTGTAAAAAAACTATCAATAGAGAACTTAATTCCGAAGAAGACGAAAAAACTAATGAAAGTATTGTCAAAGAATTTAATAGTGTATGTGAAAATGTAGAAAAAGAAACTAAGAAAGAGCGATAAATAGGCATTGAAGTAAAAAAAGTTAAAATAGCTTAAAGGCAATAACAGTAATATAATCTAAAAAATAAAATGCTGCGTTTATTTGCAATTTTATTTATTTTTCAAATAGCCTTTAGAAATATTAATGTATTTATTGATATTAAAAACTTGTGATTTATATATTAGAATATTTCAATTAAAAACTTACTGGATACTTATCTACGTCTTAGGTTTTTGTATTACGGCCTTCAATGCATTATACGAATAAGCTAAATGTTTTGTAAATAGCACTGAAACCAAAATAAATACTTTCCAGTTCATATTCTCGTTACAAATTTCCACTTTTGCTTTAATACTTTCACTATTTGATTATTATTAAAAGCAAATTCATTGCATTAATTAAGTAGTTGTATATTACAAAACAATAAAAATATGTACAAAATATATCACATTTGGTTAATATCCTATCTAAGCTTAATATACAAATATTAAATAATCAGGTATGAATAGAATACAAACTTAATTACGAATATTTGAGACAGTAAACTAAATAAAATGAAAACTATTGTAAATACGTACAATGGCTTTTCATAATTACATATAATTTGTGTTTTTAAAAGGTGATCATTTCGTAGTAAAATACATTATTATCACAACCCTTTTAGATCACGCATTACCATTTTGTGTCCCTGTTTTGTATTGTCAACGTGATTGGTTCATTTTTATTCTTCTGGTTTTAGAAAATTATACGTAATGCATGTATGTTATACATATATTACTAATAAATCATTTTATTGTGCAGTATAAGGATCTCAATTAATAAATTAATTCTTTTGTTAGTTAAGAAACCTAAATATCTTTAATTAACAGTAACGTCAATATGAAGATTAGAGCGATTTGAGGAATGTTATTTGTGGATACACTGCTCTGTGTACTTCCCCTTGTGCTATCGTTGTCATTTTCATTATCATTTCCCGTACGTTGTTCACTACTGGTACAGTACTTATCACAATCGTCTTCACATACACCACAAAATGTTGAAGTAGTGCCCTTGTAAAAAACCCTAGCCCGACGTGCTGAAAGATAAAAATTAATTTAAATGCATAATTATTAGAGAAACAGCAATGGAGTACAACAGAATTCAATAAGTTTAGAATTTTTAAGTTTCATTACATTTCATTTGACTTTTATATTAAGAGAAAAAGTAAAACTTGTTAAACATTTACTCGAAGGAGACACAAAACACCCAAAAAATAATTGAGATAATAAACATTGACTTACTGCTATCATAATAATCATAGACTATAACTGGCACAGGCTTTTGGTAAGCTACTTTATGTGTCCTGTAAGCCGAAACTGTGGGGCAATACTCAGTAGTTGTAAGGTTATTAAAATAAAGTATGACTGTTGTGTCCTCATTTTTAGTTTGAACTTTCTGAACATTCTGCGACACTTCCAAACTTGGTAAAGAATCAACATCTGCCGTGAATCCTGAAGGTAATGTTACCTCCATTACAGCCATATTACTCTCTTGATTTTGCGTCAAGTTGGGGCTCACGAATCTAAAATGCAAAGAAAATGTTTATGAAAAAAAAAACAATTGTTAACAACTTATAGGAATGTTTTGCTTACCCTGTACATATTGAAAGTTGTAAATGATTTGCGTTTGAATTTTTATCGACCTGTGGGTCTAAAGTAAATAATGGCCAAGGTCCCGTGACATTCACATTATATTTATAAGTCACTCTGAAAAGTGCTACACCTGAACCTTGAGCTGTTATATTAATTTTATCGACATTATTTGGCATCTAAAAAAAAAGTTTAAAAAAGTATAAAAAATATGATTAAATTTATATGCAAGGATTTAATAACCAACACTTACACTTGCTTTCTGAACAATCATGGCAGAATTTTCGTTTATTTTAAACCTGCCGATAACGTTTTTGTTGAAAGAATATTGTATTTCAACTGATGGCTTTACAGAAAGTTTCGAGACTAGTTTATATATGGCATATAAACCAAGAACAGTGTCGTGGGATGATGTAAACGCCCCTAAATCACTTTCCTGCCCAACTAGCCAGTTGATTACAGGAATCGCATCCTCCAATCTCCCAGATTCTATAAAAGTCAAGAGTCCATATGCCGTAGTTTCAATATCTATTGATTTTGGGAGACGATTCCAGGGATTGTTGTTTTTAAGTTCTGGAACATCTTTAGCCCACCACTTCATATTCCCATCGGATTTCGCTTTCAAGTCGAGGTAATTAAAAGCGATTCGCGCCCTAGGGTGAAGAGCTTGCTTCAAAACGTAACTACAAACGGCAAGAGTGTGGGCATCATTATTTTCATCAATGTTTCGTCCCACGTAATCCAACCCTCTGCCCATAATCTCTAGATAAGCTTTATTTTGACCCTAGAAAGCACAAACTTTAATTTTTGATCAGGCAATAGCTTGAATAATAATTAAAACACATTTGCATTGTTACTGTGTATGTTTTTTCTTTATTATTGTGTATGTTGGGTTGCCTATGCGCGACAGCATCTTTGAAATAAAAAAAGTGTTTTGGCAAAATAAAAATGAATAATGTATATACCTTTGCTTCAATGAATGCCAGAAGAACAAATGCTGTTAATGCAAGAGGATTAGATTGTATTTCATGGTGAATTATGGGTCCTGTTTCGAAAAAGCTTCCATCTGCGTATTTCTTTTCATTCAGCCATTGCAAAGCTTTTTGAATAATTTCTTCATCTACATAAATAAATTCTTTCGCTTTAGTCAAAACCAACACGGTGTATGCTGTAATCCTAGAAACATACAAAAGATTTCTAAAAAATCTTATGCAAGTTTACTAATTTCATTTTATTTAAATAATCAGTATTTTTTTACTTTTTAAACTATAATTATAGCTACACAATCTTACCAGATACTTCCAACGTCATCTCTTTTTCCAAAGGCACTAAAAGAACCGTCGTTTCTTCTGTAGGCTAATTGTGTTTGATAACCAAGTTCTAAGTTTTTGATAGCCTGCGTTTCGATGGTGGGAGTAAGTTGGCCGCTGTTTCTGAGATATTTTAGTATGATTACATCAGGCATTAAATGAACAAAATTTTGTTCCCCACAACCAGTTGGAAGTCTAATTAAATTCTCCAAATTAATCATTGTGTGGCCCAATATATCACCAACCACCGAAACTTCTATACTTTTAGAATTCGGCACAAAGTTTTTCGGTATATCGATAGTCAGATTACCATCAAAATCTCTTTTATTGCGCAAGTCAATAAACAATGTTTTCGTATAGTATTGGGTCTCTCCTTCAGCCTAAAATAAATGACAAATTAAATTATAAGCCGTAATAACAAAAAAACTTTTTCCTATAAAATTAAGTGTACCTTGACCCAAAGATTTTTAATGGATGTGTCTTGACCACCAACACCGCCTGCAGTTATTTTAATTTCTGTTAATCCTATTTTAGTTGGTGTTATCATAAACGATGTAGACATTGCACTATTACCTAATACAGTTAGTTTTTTCTTCTTATAAAGTTCAACTTCTAAAAAGTAGCAATAAATAATAATATTTTCCATAAATTACACATTAATGAATGAGAACTTACTTTTAGTGTCATTACTTTCGCTCAAAGGTCTGGTGAATTCAAAGTTATTTTCAATGTTATGCAGTGTAATTTCGACGGGCATATCGTTAGCCATATTGTTGTAGACAACAACGGGAATAGATAAAGTTTCCAAACGTTGTACAGAATGAGGAATATCAAAATTTACTGAAAATGATTTTGCAACCTGAAGTCGTTTTGGAGCTTTGACAATTCCTAAACCGTAGGCCGAATCTAAAGAAAAACCCGTAACTAGCCATGTGGTGATAGAACTTGGAATTTTCCGATGGATAGAAGCTTTGCCTTCAAATCTATAAAAGAACTTTTATTGCATTTTTTAAGCATGATAAGTTCACTTTTTACCCTGAGGAAAAATTTGTAAAAAGCCATGTATCTGCCACGTTACTTTGAAGATAAACCTTAGGGTTATTCCAAACAGGTTTTGGAATTCTGCTGAACGCGTATGGACCAGCAAGGGGGGGTCTAGTTGCAGAGGGTAACGGTAACCCTACGCCAGTATCCGGTTTTACGGTACTTCCTTCGTAAAACACTGGTCTCAAATAAATATCTTCCACTATAAATATTTAAAAATCAGAAATATTAACAAAACAATTCACAATATACTTACAAGTAGGTCTGTACTCAGACACTAAACCGTTTGTTAATAAAACAGCTCCAGAATCATGATAAATATCTTTCGCATTGCCACCCCCAGGCTTCCAATAAAAATGAGACATAATGTCCTTTAAAACTGCCCAATAAGGAGATAAATTTGAAGGATCGTAGCCCAAAAGTTCTTTGAAAACCATATCATGGGTAATGTCATAACCGCTTCTTAAATCAGCGATATTTTGGTCAATGGCCAAAAGACCTATGTAAGAATTTGGCTCTGCCCTAATAGTTACATCTATTTCGGAATCTGGGGCTGCGTCTGGACGACTTAATTGAACATCGATCTGTAAAAGAAAATGATCACGTTATCACAATATAAATGTTAAGTAAATATTATAAATTCGGTAGACACCTACACTGTTCTGTAAAAGTCCATCAACTTGTATATCAATTGAATCGGCTACAAGTTCACCATCCTCTCGAACATAATTAACGATCAAGTGTGAAACGGGAACCATTGCATGAGATGCCGTGAAGTGGAAATTAAATTCCTAAAAAATTAATATTAGATACCTACTATATAAAATGAAAAGATTATTACAAATATTTACCTTTCTATTTTGTATGTCGTGCGAGTGCGCCGTAACAATATCACCTCTGCTTATTATTTCATATGAAATATGCTTCATGGGTTCTGTGCAATTTAATAAAACCATTGCACCAGTATTTACGGTAATTTTATCGGTTAATAAAGAAACCTGGAGATACGTATTGCTAGGAGAGACTGCAGAAGGAACAGGTGGCATACGCTCTTTAAGTTCTAAATATTCTGCCTAAAATAAAGAAAAACGAATGCCAGTTGAAATCAAATTCTTTTTTTAAATACGAAGAAATAAACTAATCAGTATAATACACCTATTAAACTGATTAAATAACTTAAGAGCCTATAAACAAATTCACCTCTATCCTTAATGCCGTTTTATTGGATGCTTTTGGAGGAGTATCCAACTCTATTTTTACCAAACCTTTGCTATCTAACGTGTACTCTTTTTCCGTATACACCTCACCCACTCTGGAGAAGCCGTATTTTACTTTCACAGGGTTAGTCTTGTCTTGTACTGGTGTACCGTCTTGGTTGCTGATTTTAATCTGAATAGAGAAAAAAATCGTAAATGGAACACTGAGGACCCTCACGTAAATAAACTTACAAAAGCTGTGTATCGTAAACCAGGTTTGTAATAATCGGAGGTCTTAATTATTTCGATTTTATAGGGATACTTCCGTATATGCACTTCGACACTGTTGTTTTGTCTACGACCAGTATGTGCTTCTTCGATGGTAACATCTACTATTACAGTTCGTTCGTATTCGTCACTTAGTCTGAGATCGTTTGCAATGTCAAAATCTACAGATGCGGAACCATCGATTGGAATTACTTTTCGAATAGGGTTTTGAAATATGGGTTGAATAACACCTGAGACAATTGTGGGATACACAGTCACTGTCGCATCTCCCCTCACTTTCTTACCGTAATTATAACTAAAAAAATAAACAATAAAATGTAGTTTCTATAAAGTAACTCTACAAAGAGTTTGGAAGTGTTAAAAAAACACTTCACAAAGATACGTTTTCAAATCATTATAAGGAACTTTTTTATATTTTTTTAATACTGCTTTTTATTTTAAAACAAAAAAATAATTTCCAATAATTATTAAAAGTACCTATTTATATTTTTGGCCTACTATAGAGAAAAATAAATAAACCACAAAATGTTTTTTATATAAAAGCAACTGATAACTAATAAATCCTTCTAAAATATAAGCAAATTTCAATTTGCAATTCAGTCCAAATACACTTACAATGACTGAATATGTGCGGTCAAGGTATTTTCCTTGAAAGTGACATATTTGGGCGCTTGGATATTTACAATAAACTTTGGAAGAATATACTGAGCTACTTCAATAGTTTTATTGTAGATTTGGCCTTCAATTCTAACTGAAATATGCCAATTGCCAAGAACTGGATTATTACTAACAAGTACTTCTTCTGTAAAGACTCCTTTTGGGGCAACCACACTATTCCACTCTTTAATCCTATTGCCATCTCCATCCTGATGACAAATTTATTAGACATACAAAAAATATATATGTGATTGTATTTTCAACTTACTGTAATGAAAACATCAAAACGTTTTTGTTTCAGATCAGCAACTGGTCTCAGTTGTGAATTAAGAATTAAAGCTCTAAATAAAATCCTATTTCCGGAATTATAAACTGCTCTGTCAGTTTGAATTAATACACTATAGGTCTTTGGGGAATATATTAACGGAACAGAATCGTACAGTTTAAAACCGCTCCTCCCAGCTAATAAAAGGGAATAATTGCCGGGAAGAATATCTCCGACCTAAAAAGTGTACTTTAGATAAGACAAATAGGAAACAGAAAATCTAAATACTAAAGTATTATAAATAAGAAGGAATTGCCAAAGGTGGGGATACATGGGTTGATTTATATAAAAAAAAGTTTTTCTACAACTCAAGAACCTCTTAATGAATTTTGATAGGTTTTTGCTGTTGTAAAGAAAAAATTAGGGGAAATTAGGAACTTAGAATCCAAATGGTTACTTTATCACTTTTACAGTTTTGAAGGAATCTACTTTGCATAATTTTACCTTTAACGTTGCTATTTCAGAAGAGTAAGGTGCAACTTTTACGGTTTCTTCTGTTCTATAACGTTGTCCATCATTCCTTATGCCTTCTATAATAACATCAAAGTAGGTAGTTAGAACAGATGCTCCTTGTAAACTCACTACAGCATGATAATCGGTGTTTGGGCGGATTACTTTTGGAGCTGTTACCTTGTAAATCCTACGCAAGTTTTAGATTCATTTTAAATTTTGTCAAACAAAACAATATTAATTAAACAGTACATATAAACAGATTAAGAAACATATTTATTAGGTGCATTTTTCAAAATAATGCCTACATATTTAAACATGTTNTTTCGGTGAAGTACCGATCTTCAACACATCAGTTTATCACAACCTATAAAAAGTATTAAACTCACCCCTGAGAAGCAACGTAAACTGTATGACCCCAAAAATATATCATACAAAACCACAGCATCGTCATAAATATGCCTAATAAAATAAATTCTCTCGGTGGTCTTTTACAACTACAAAAATTCATATTATATTAAGGGGTACATTTACAATCCTATCGCCATTAACAATAATAATAACTGATGAAAACTTACCGTACACATGAACTTACACCAAAGGAACTTTCGAACTAATTTTTGCAAACAAACGAACTTCTAGGACTTTATCTCACACATTTTACAAAAATTTTTATCAGCGCAATCCACTTTTTTATTATTAAAGTATTTTATTATCATAAAAATTAGCTAATATTTAACTTTTATTAAACATACTTTGCGCTTTCTTTTAAGAAACGGTCGCGAGGCAGCAGTGTGTATTATTTTTGTACCTGTAATAAGTTGTTTGAATAGTGACCAAGAGCGACTCGTAAAAGAAAATGAATCATATACAGGTGGGCTATTAGCTGTTATGCAAATGTAAAAAAAGTAATTTTAGAATTATTGGAATTAAAAGTGCAAATTCCGGAAATAGAATTCAACAACAATATTAGGTGTTACGGTTTATTTTATTGCTTTATTAAGACGGTTGTTAATAAATAGTAGATTTATTTATGAAATTAATGAAACAGCAAGACGTACAGTAATACTTTTAAAAATTGTAATAGTTTTCATTATGTATATTTCAAAGCATTTTCAATTGTTGATAAATCAAATAATACCCCACACTAAGAATAAATTATCCTTTTTACTCTCCTGTTACTACGGCACTGCGAGAAGTTATACATTTATTTTAATAATAAATAAATAAAAAAGTAACACAAATATTTTTATATTCATATACAAAATTAATTCATATAAAAAAGGCAAACAGAAATAAAATGAACAACAAATTAACTGTTTTAATATCGATCAGGATAATTTCTGCAATGTACCAAACATTATTTTTTACCTAATTAGGTGTGTATGACAGACAAACAATGAGATCATACTTTTTTGTAAATCAACTAACAAATGTATTATTTTTCAATGAATCATTATTTGTATTTAATTCTTCTAAGGAGCAAGTATAGGTACTTATACCTTAATTTCTTTTTTCCTTTAGAGAAATTGCTTTCACTTTCTTATGAAACTTTCTTTTACTAATTCATTACAGCTCATGATTAGTAAAAGAAGTTTAAAAATATATAATTATAATGATATTTTGAAAAAAAAAAATGAAATTGAATTAAATTATTCAACATTATTTATATGAGAATTTAGATTCTATTTCAAGATGACTTTAAAAAATAATACTTAGGTCAAGTGACGATTATAGGAAACGCAACATAGCTTTTCTGTCATTTGTCCTATTATGTTTTTTTAATTTGATTTCAACCGATTTTAACCTTAAATTTTGTATGAGGCTCTGAATTTGGTCAATTGTTTGGCCTAAATCGCATAAATGTAAATTTTCAAGTAGACTTTAGTAAATTTACTTAATATCATACTAATGTTTTAAATATAATTATCACACTATTATTATCAAATTGAATTTAATCAGAACTGTTTACATTAATCAAACATACGTGTTTTGACATATGACGTTGTAAACATTCAAGTTGATGGTACATATTTTATTTTATACTAATTTTAATTAAGTGGACAATTAAGTAATATATATTGAATCTATTACGTTCAGTTAAATATCATCGTCAAATTAGAAGCCATGTTTTCTCAATCTAAAGATGATGTGAAGCTGGAATGGATGTACAAAGTAAGTGTAATATTTTAAATTACATTCTTGTTACTTATTTTAACTTTAATCTTTTTAGGGTCCAAATGCAACAGTCGATCGTGAAGAATATCTTTTGGGTAGAGCAGTAGATAAAACACTAGAACAACTTAATGAAGAAGAAAAACAAAAACAACTTGGTTTAGCTCAACAACCTAAGAATCATGTAGAACACGAATGCATCCCTCCTTCCATAAGAGACTATAAGAAACAACAATTATTAGCTGAACAAGTAAGTAAACTTGTTAACTGAATGTAAATAGTTTGTGTATTTGTACTGATTATGTATTAATAATTAATTTCAAAAGGTCGACATTCAAAATAAGCTACAGGAAGATCCATTAATAGCTATTAAAAAGAGGGAGGAAGAATGTAGAAGACAATTCTTGAATAACCCTGTGCAACTAAAAAAATTGCAAGAAGCACTAGTGGCTAAGAAAAATCTGAAAAAAGATAAGAAAAAGAAATCTAAGAAAAAACATGCCAGTAGTGATTCTGATAGCGACATCGATTCTAAACTAGTTGAAAAACTGAAGTTATTAAAAAGGTTTCCTACAAAACTGTCTTTAGAGTTGAAGCTTAAGAGTAAAAAAAAAGTAAAATCTGAAGAAGATAGCATTCTTGATACTATATTAATGCACAAATTTAATGCATTCAAATCAAAATTGTCTGATGAAGATATGCAAGACATTTTGGCAGGTAAAATTACAGACAGTGAATCAGATAGCATTAGTGATAAGGAAGAAAATGATGCTGTAGATACAAAAAAAAGAAAGAAAAACAAAAAAAAAGATAAAAAGAAAAACAAAAGGCAACATAAAAGATATGAAAATGACAGTGACAGTGAAAAGAAAGACAGGATTAAAAACAAATCCACTAAAAAGCACAAAAGTGATTTATCTAGCAGTTCCTCAGATTCAGAAGAAAGTAATTTCAAAAAGCAAGCTAAGAGTAATCATACACAGAGGCCCAAAGAAATAACTAAAGGAAAAGAAGAGCAAACTACTAGTAAGGTTTCAGAACACAGACAAAATATAAATTTTAATAAAAACCACAAAAATACAAATCCAAATTCACCTTTAATTAAGAATTATTCTAGTTTGTTTAAGGAAAATATGTCATATAAAGATAGTTCAAGGCATTATTATAAGAATTCTGATAAAAATGAAAATAACAGATCCAAAAGAAAAAGTGAATCCAGTCATGGAAAGAAAGGCCAGAATAAAGGAAGGGAAAGCTCTAGTGATAATGACCAAAATGAGAAAAGGAAAAGACTACTATCAGATAAAGATTTAGAAACCAAAAAGGATAACACCACTAGGGTTAAATCTTCTAACAAAAAAGACACACGAATGTACCCTGAAAATCCATACAATTCACGAAAGTACAGTGATAGTTCATCAAAAGGATATCCTGAACTAAAGTCATCTAAACAAAGTTATCAGTCATCAGATTCAAATTCTGATTCAGATTCGAAAAATAAAAAACGCAATTATGGTTTAATAAGTGGCGATGGTAAAAGGCTAAAATCTACTACAAAGATAAAACATTTTAATGAACAAAAAAGTACTTCCATAAAGTCGCCAGAATTAAGGGAATCTTCTGATAAACGTTCTGGAAGGCCTAAATGTAAAGAATTATCACGTGAAGAAAGAGAAAAACGAATAAAAGAAATGATGGCCAATGCTGCTTGGAGGGACAAAGAAAGAGCTGAAGCAGTAAGGATTCATAGGGAAAGTGAATCCAATCAGTCCAAAATACCTGATGAATATAACCCCGAGTTTCTTCATAAAGAATTACTGAAATCTGCTAATTCTGCTAGTGTTGAAAGTAGAATCAAAGCTAACGTTAACAATATTCAGAGATCCAGTAGAGATATGAGTAGTAATTTTTCTAAAAGGTACTAAAAGAATTTATTTTGATTATTTATTATATAAACTTACTGTAAATATAATTATTTCTTTCTTTGAAGGAATTAAAGAAACTTCGACTGTTTAGACTGGTTTCATTCTCAAACTGAAAATGATGTTGGAATATAATAGGTAGACGAGAAATGATAATAAAGAAAAAAAGTTTTCTTTGAAAATGTTATTTATTACATATTATTTATATGAACAAAAATTTAATTTATTTACCATGCGTTTATGGTACATCACTATATCGAATGTCTACGGTATAAATTAAAATATTATCATAATTATAAAAACAGGTCCGTAATAATGTTAGAATAAAGGTTCCAAAAGAATGGTTCTGAAGCATTTCGTTTAGATGATTTCACTTGGATCTGAGCACGACTTTTTTTATCTTAATCAACTCGTTCACCATGTGAACATCTTTTTTAAGTATTTTCCTATTTTTTTTACCGTTTCGTTACGGTACGATAAACATCACAGTCGCGATCAGATCATTGTACACTCACTTTACGTTCGATCATAATTAATCATTAATTACTCCAAGTTCGATCGTTCACTATAAAATTTCGAATAACAATAACAACAACAAAATCGAATTTTGTTAACATTCGTTTTCAAAATAAAAACAAAAAATTTATACTTGAATGATTTAATTGGACGTTTTCTGTGTTGCCGAAGATTCGGTTCTAGCGTCAAATTAAAAACAAAAGTTAAAAAGGAAATCTTACTCTAATAATAATAATAATAATAAATTGTTTCAACCTAAAATGAGTGTACCACAGTAGTTAAAATTGTATTTATAATTACGAAAGCAGCTGTTTCATCGTTCGATTAAACGGTCCATTGGAAGGCCATCAAAATTTGAAACCTTCACTGGGAACGTTCGTACTAGGATCGAAGTGAAATCCTGCATCTCCCGCTTGTGGTGCTAAGTTTGGATCATCTTCAGTCTAAAAACAAATCGTCAAAGGAAAAGAAGAATTACAAAGGTGAAATTAACAATGCAAAAAGAACTAACCTCTGCACTGAAGTACTGCTCAATAATTTCATAAGCTAATTTGTATATTTCAACGTTGTCGTGATTCTGGAGAGCCTCTATTTTGTCTAGTCCACCGCACTCCTCAATCATATTGGCCAGGTGTTCCACTTGAGACCCGGCCATTTTAAGCATGTTATTAATGCCATCGAGAACAACTTGAACTACTTGCGCGTCTTTACACGTCAAAAGGTCGCAGAACGGCGGGATAACACCTTCCTTGATTAAGCAAGCAACTTGATCCTTGTTGCCCCCAATCGTAAGATTGCTAATTGCCCACGCTGCCTCTTTCTGTGTTTGGAAATCTCCTTTTATTAAGTTACGAATTATTTTTGGCAAAAGGCCTGGAATAAATTAAATTAATTATATTTCATTGAAACCAGTAGCGATACTAAAAATAGTGAACATTTCTTTGAAAACAGAACATTTCATGTATAAAGTGTTAAAAAGAAATGTGAACATGTTTACAATGAAATTGATAGAAAATATTTTTTAATTACCAGCGTCAATAACAGCTTGTACTTGGGACTGGTTTCCTGCAGTTATATTGGACAAGAACCATACAGCTTCTTTGCATATTTTGTCCATTGAATGGGTGAGAAGTTCAGGGAAGTGCGATAACGCGTCGCAATTTAAAACAACCTGAAAAATAATTTCAATACTGCTCTTGTATTCAGTTTAGTAAAGATAAATTAAACCCTGATTATGCCTGTAATGGATTAAAATTATTTGTCCTCAACATGCCTCTAAATAAATTAAAAAGATATGTAACTAAGTTGAATTCGTCTCTTTAATTTTTAAATAATTAAATTTCAATAAGAACCATTACCTGCGTTTGCTCATCGGTACCGGTGACAATATTACCGACAGCCCTTAGAGCTGCAGTTTGCACTTTGGCTTCCGAATGACTAAGTAGGGGGACCAATTTCGGCACAACACCACTATCTATAACCATTTGGATCTGCTCGTTGCCACCGTCAGTTAGATAACTCAGCGCCCAAACTGTATCTACTAATATCTGAAGCAAATAAGCATGTACATTAAATACAGAAATTGAATGTTAATTATCGATCATTTCTTTTAGATCTCTATAAATTTGTCTTCACTTTTAAAATTGATGTTATATTTAAAATGCTTTTGGAATGGTTATAACATGAGGAATACAATTACATTTTTTTTTTAGAAATTGAGAACTCAAAAAAACGTTTACTTACGTTGGTGTCAGTGTGATGGATAAGAACACTCAATGCTGGCAGGATTTCTTTGATAGTGGGTGTGGGAGGAGGCGGGTCCTTGTTACGGCACAAGTTGACAATCACCCACGTGACATTCCTCAAGAAAGAAATTGGAATATCAGGTTTAATGAAAGACAGAAGTGGATTAACAACTCCCAATTCTACTACATAATCTCTTAGATGAGGTCCATCACCAATTATGTTTCCCAGAGCCCAAACTGCCTGTTCACACACATTTTGTTGGGGTGAGTTGAGCAACTTAAGGAAAAGTGGTACTGCACCAGCTTCAACAACTTTATTTGTTTGAACTGAAGTACCTAGAATTACAGAAAACGATTTTAATAATGTTTTTAATCAATAAATTCAAATTATTTGTCATCACATTTAACAATATTCATTACCTGAAGCAATGTTTGTCAATGCCCAGGCTGCTTCAAATTGTAATGACGGACTATCATAACATTCAAGACAATTAATTAGAATTGGCAAGATTCCACTAGCTATAAGAGCATCTATAGGAGGGTTCCTGTCAGAAGACAATAACTTTCTTGCAGTTTGTACTGCTACTAATTGTGATGCAGGATTGGTAGTTTGAGCAGCTTGTTGAACTAACTGCACCAGGTTGATATTTGAGAAAGATCTATCTACTTCATCTTCATCTGTTGAGTCAGTTATTGGAACATTCCGCCTTTTTTGCAAAGTCTCTTCTCTTTTATTTTTCCTAAGTTCTACTGTCTGCTCATTTCTTCTTCTTCGCATTTCCTAGATTTAAAGTATACTCAATTAAATCTAAATAAAATGGGAAATTCTTATAATGAATAAATGCTTTAACCAAAGGTAGCATTTTAGAAACTAAGGTTATAGGAGAGTCCTCACACCATAGCAGCTATAACACAATACTTGAACTGTAAAGACATAATATGAAACCCTTAATTTAGAAAGAATTCTAATGGAAGACACTACAAATGCAACTGTAAATACTTTAGCTGCTAAAGCAATATAGAAAGTCACAAAATCGAAACTTCTTTAGCAGAAGTGTTAGGCAACATAACAATGGTAAGTCATAAGATATTCTCAACACTTGATGAAATAACAGGGTTTCTATACTTATACTGCATTTACTCTTTTAATAAGTGTACTAAATTATAATTATTTGACATGTGGTGTCAACACATCCCAGTGAAATTACATGGGTGCTTTTGAAAGATAGCTGGTAATGGTCATATAGTGAGAGAATAGTAGAGTTATAAAACAATCTCACTTACATCTTGGTCTTTTCCTTTGTTTTTAAAAACTTGCATTCGATTCTTATAATGTGGTTCTGACGCCATTGTTGACAAGTGCTTATCCACTTGCTAGAAAATGCCGGTTTTGCGAAAAACACTACGAGAACAAATAAATTAAAAAAGGTACATTACGATATCATAAGCATCAACAAATCTTTGGACTTCTTTGATAAATAAAATTGTACGTCAAAAAAATAAGTAGTCGTCACACAATCACGGCAGAATCGTGCTCCTGCTATTATTAATGACAAAAAACAGTTTTTTCAACTTTCGTTTGGTTTGTGCACTGTTTAGGGGATAAATTGTACAAGGTTGCATTGAGTAAAATTTTGAATCGGGAAATTTCATAAGGCTAGAAAATATAATTAAGGCTATAAATAACTTCAAGAATACGTTTGTTAGGTAAAACTGTCTCTTAAGTTACAAAAACTTTTCATTTTAATAATAAAAATGATATGCGTATGATTTATTATCAGTCATTGTAGATCATATTTTAAATTTTCCGCAGTTTATTTGACAAAATTGTAACCAATGCTTGTAAATACTGCCCTAGGGTCCCTAGGCTTTCCTTCTGACATGATGGCTGTCAGTTTCATCGAGGGTGGGAGACTTTATCTACAGATTAATGTTTTATTGTGATAGTACTAATGTTTCCTAGAAAAATATGTCTAGTCTAAAAATTGGTAAGTAAATCTGTAAATTTCCTTTTATGTGTATATTTTTGAATGTCACAAAACAATGGTTGCCGCCCCCCCTTTAAAAAAACTTGAAAAAAATATTAGCCCTTATAAAAGGTTTACAGTTGCATAATTATGTAAATTTTAATCATCTCAAGGTGAATCACTTATTTTCTGATTTTAATTTAGTATTACAATTTGTTGCCTGTGTGTTTACATACAGTAACTTTCTTTAGTCAATTGACTTTCTCTTGTAAATGCAAACACCCTTTGCATTTCAAATAAGCAGTAAAATAGATTTCATTGCATAGTATTTTTTTTGTTTCAATTTTGCATGATTTTCAAAGACATTTCCATTTAAGTAACGACTGACATTGTGTTTTGTAGAGTAGAGCATGAATATTGGCTAGAACAAAATATTTGTGCTTGTGGTCATGTTGGAGACCAGATCAATGCGTGGAACTCCTGAACCTCCTGCCTGGCAATCCAAGAGTAACTACGCTGTTAGGCCTCCACCTCATCATATGGCAAATCCCAATATGAGATATGGTAGGACTTTTTGTTAGAATTCTTGTTGCAGTGTTTTTTTTTGTTATTGTGCTTTTTATTTTTTGTTCTTGGGAAGTATTTTTGATATCATTTCATAATCATGAAGTATTAGTGTCAGGTTTTGAAATCCTCATTCTTTTAGTTGGTTAAATTTACACAAGTGCTACATATCTGGTTTTGTATACAAACAAGGCCTTGAATCCTTTTTTAAATTAAAAAACCTAAAAAACTTTATTATTTGCAATAGATACCACATTTTGTGGTCAAGTTTTTGAAAAGCAAGTAACTACAAGCAGCTGTTGCAATTCATATCTAAAAAGTAAACACAATGATTGATTTTATGATACATATATGTAAAAGATTAATTTTGCATGATTAAACCATTGAATGATTAAATTATTATCTAATGCAATTATTTGTTTAATATTTTTAATAGCACACCTTCTAACTAATGCACTTTATGTCTCTTTTATTAGATAAACTAAAAGTAAAATAATCATCTCCTTTTAGGCAAAACAAGCCAAGAAGATGTTTGTTATGTTGTTGCAAAGTACGACTATGCTGCTCAAGGTGCACAGGAGTTAGATTTACGAAAAAACGAAAGGTACTTATTGCTGGACGACTCAAAACATTGGTGGCGGGTACAAAATTCGCGAAACCAATCAGGATATGTGCCCAGCAATTATGTCAAAAAGGAGAAGCCGTCGCTTTTTGATAGTATTAAGAAAAAGGTTGGTTTATAGGTACTTTGGTAATACTGAACTAGTATTCAATTCCTCTTTCATTTATAAAGTACAAAAAAGTTTTTGAAAGATGTATGATAATAAAACTAATTCATTATTCCATCACTAGTAATTGTCATATTTGTTTTTTTTTTTTTTGAGCAAACAGATGTTGAAGTTATTTTTGTTGTTTTGTATAATCAGTACAATAGTATTAGAGAAAATGTTGTTTTGTTAATTAATGTTATTACCCGATATTTTTTGCATTGCCATTAAAAAATTTAAACAGTAACAGTAATCATAAAAAAATTCTTAAAGGAATGTTTTTGGCAATTAATATTTTCCTGAACCAAATGTTTTTGTATTATTTTACTACTGGTCCAGGTGAAAAAGGGTTCTGGTTCTAAAACTCTACCTTCAAATAACTCCCCTTCTCGGAGCGTTGAATCTCCTAATGTAGCCCGTAGACTTCCTGCTGATCCATCTGAAGCTATTGGTGTGGCTGTAGTTAAATATAATTACCAAGCACAGCAGTCAGACGAACTATCATTAGTCAAAGGTTCTAGGATATTGATTTTAGAGAAGAGTAACGATGGTAAGTTGTTTTTTTTATTTTTTATAATGAGTTTCTAAACATCATTATGCTTTCTAAAATTTAATAGGATGGTGGCGAGGTCAAAGTGGTAACGCAGTCGGATGGTTTCCTTCGAACTATACTCAAGAAGAGGGTGATGGAGATGACACCCTTCACACATATGCGATGGCGGAGAATGTGTTGGACATTGTTGTAGCCCTCTACTCGTTCTCATCAACGAACGATCAAGAATTGTCGTTTGAAAAAGGAGATAGATTAGAGATTTTAGATAGGCCACCTTCTGATCCAGAATGGTAAGTTAAACATATAAATAGAAGAATTTTCATTTAATCTAGTAAGTATAGTACCCCTAGGAACTAGTTAATATAGGCTAACATCTTCTATTTATAACAAATACATTACAGTCTTAAAAAAGCCTTAGATTGGAAGGCGAAACGTCGGTGGAATTACATAATAATAAAGAACATTTCACCTTTTTCTGATTGCTTTTAATTGAAAATATCTTAATTTTCATTTAAGTTTTTGGAGAGTAACTACACGTAATAATCCTTGCCCTAACTCTATAAATAGGTGCCGTAATAGAGCATTCAAATTCATACAAATAAAATTCAAAAATGTTTCTATTTATGAAAAGTAAACTATGAGAAAATTTTATTAATGTGTTATAAAAAAAAAAATTGTTTCAGGTACAAAGCTCGAAACGCACAAGGTCAGATCGGTCTGGTCCCACGAAACTATCTTCAAGAGTTGTCGGAATACTTGACACAGCCTTATCAGGAACGTAGGCAGGAACGTATGGAACATGTGGACAGGCAACAGCAGCAGCAACAGCAAGATGGGATGCTGAATGATCGACCCCATTTGGTTGGCAAACCTTGGTACTACGGTAGTATCACAAGGAATCAGTGCGATAACTTATTGAATCAACACGGTCACGATGGGGACTTTTTGATTCGAGACAGTGAAACTAACGTAAGTAGTCAAGTTTATTTTTGATTTCAAACCAAAGTGTCTACTCTTACAATTAAAAGGAAACATTTGATATTGCAATTAGAAAAATTGATATTTCGTTCTTCAAAAACCTTCAAGTAAATTAATTTTTGGGCAAATATAATGTGAGATTATAATAGTTTTCTAAACAACTGCAGCTAGTTAAGAAATTTTTATTTTGGTTTGTTAATTATGTTAAATGTGAAATATGATTCCGATAGGTCGGAGACTATTCCGTGTCGTTGAAAGCACCTGGTCGCAACAAGCACTTCCGTGTTCATGTGGAGGGCGCGCTTTATTGCATTGGTCAGCGAAAGTTCCACACTCTCGATCAGCTAGTCGATCACTACCAAAGGGCGCCGATTTATACGAACAAACAAGGCGAGAAGCTGTACTTGGTGCGTCCGTTGCCGAAACCAAGTTAAACATCCGGTACGCGGGATCGTCTTCGACGACGATAGCATTATCTCGGTGTCGTAGGTTATGAGCTGCTACTGCTGCTGGTTTTTTCTTATTGTATTTTTGTGATGTTAATCGATAAGGATTTTTTATTCGGCGTGTGGTTTGAATTGACTCTGTACTGAAAAAGAGATGTCGTACATAGAATGACCATAATATAAGCTTTAGTTAAGCCAGGGAAGAAGTAGGAGGATGAGTTGGATCTCGAAGTTATTTTACAGATAAATATACAGAAGGGAGAGATATTTTTCGTTCAGACATCTTTTTTTACTAAATTACAAAGTAACATACAGTTGCTCAAAGTATTCAAATTAAAAGTTTATTATTTACTGGAAATATTTTTACCAGTTCACAAATAATAAGTATGCAACAAACGATGAAGAAGAGGTTGTCAAGAGTGATTTAGGCTACGTTTTTAATTCGTAAGAATTTACAATGAATAATTAAGAGAATCTAATGGTTAAAAATTTAATCCGTGATTCCCGAATAGGTCAATTTTTTATTATTATTTTAAACACTGGATATTTTGAGTTGTTTCATATTTCTATTTTATATGAAATCTGATCAATTCGTCCTTCTTAGAGTGCTACTGTAAAGAAAACAGCGCATAACCTATTATCAATTATCTGGTCAAAGTCTTTAAGTTTAACGTCCAATTCCATATACTTTACCGTCATAATCACTCATACATATTATATTTTTCTAAGCACGGAATGTGTAATGTATGTAATATTTTTTACAGTTTATTTATCATCTACATCTACACACATCTCCTGGTAGTTCATTTAGTAACTCATTCGTACTCGTAGAATTGTTCTAGTTTTTATTATTTGCGTCTAATATACTTTATTAGATGATATTCTAAAGTGTAATGGTTAATTTAATAACATCCTAATTGCGTTTTTTAATCGATTTTCCGGTTTTATATGGTATGTTTTGTGATTTAGATTTTTCATGTAAAAGGTAGGAAATCAATACTTATTAAGAATATTAAGTGCGTTTGTGTAAGCGACGTTAGATTTTTCTAAAGGAAATTGTTGAACGAAAGAATTTTATACTGATGATCGAAAGTTTTATAAAACGTGTGACAAGGTTGAAGTGGTTAATGCAGGAATATTATTTTGTATTAGTAAATTTGCCACTAAAACAGAAAGGAATATTATTTATTTGCTACAACTTGTTTATAGCATTGCTGTACATACATTTCGTTTTTTACATAATCGAAGAGTGTAATATGTTGTGATACGAACTACATAGTATATTGCAAAGTATGTGCAAAGTTCATACACACACAAGTAGTAAAAGAAATCGTAATACGTTTTATAGTTAAAATCTTCAATCAACGAATACCGGTGGCTACACTTGATATTACTTTTTTTATGTGTTCTATCAAGTTAAATTTCAACATACATAAATATTAGAGTTATGAAAAGTGTAATCTGTTTGAATATATGTGTTGACGGGGTAGTGTGGCTACTTTGCACATCTTGTAAAAATTTTTTTTACAATGCTAAATAAGCTGCCATTTTAGCTTCGCCTTTCCAGAGACCTCCACTGCACTTCAGTTTTGCATTAAACACCTTTTAAATTTACATATTTGGTGGTACTCTGAATTTTAAACGGTACAAATATGAAAACCGCAACATTTCTTCCTTTTTTTATTTAGGGCATTTCATATATGAATAGCTATTATTTATATTAACATTAAATCCTAGTGTAATTTTTAATGTGTAACCGATAGTTTAAAGTAGTAATTCCAACTAAAGAAAATTACCAATTTCGAAAAAAAATATTTGAATATTGTGTAAATAGTCGAGCTCTCTTAATGCCATATTCAAGAAACAATGTTTTTATCTGTAATTAATATTATGTAATTAATTACTTTTTGAAATATTATTTATATTTGAGAGCGGTCCTATTTCTTTTAACGAAAAAAAAAAAAGCTTTA